TACAATTGCAGTAGGGATGGAGCTTGGAAGCAGCTCCTTAGAAAACAGAAGGAAGCTCCTTCCGCTGACCCCAGTTAGCAATGGCTGGGGAATTCCCTGCCCGCAGCAGTACGTTGCAAAAAGGGGCCAGGTGCAGTGACGTCATTGACTTTATATGGCAACATATATATTATCTAAAGAACTCCAGGACTGCAAGGGTTAAGTGCTTGTTTTGCCTAGGGGAGTCAAATAAAGCAGTTTTACTAAGCTGATCCTCAGTAAGCACTCGCCTCTCTCCCCCTCCGTGTAATATCCCTCAAGACAATGGACCTGCATTAGACATAATGATGTCAGCGGTCCTTAGACCATCGAAGCCCGGGGGAGAAGAGACTGCGGGGACTGGTCTAGCAGCCCGGCAGGACTAAGGATCAGGTGAGTACATCTTCTTTATTCCTTCCCCTAGAGAAAAAGGAGCATTTCACCCTCGTAGTGCAGGGGTAGCGCACATTTAAACATTTCTGGAGTTCTAATTTTATAAATTACATTTACCTAATATGGTCATGTAGCCATATAAGGAGAATGAAGTCAGCACAAGCATCTCGCCATTTTGTTTACATGCAGCTATTGGCCTGGGGAATGCCGATTTGGCAGGTGGTCCATGGCAATTCCATGTGTTTGAACCCGGTCCAAACCTGAGCTCATCTCCAGGGGCGTCCCAAGGCTGGATGTCACCCGGACATCGGTGACACCCCGCCGTGACATAATTACGCATGACGCCATCTCTGCGACACCTGCTGGCGGCAATCTTGGTGATCGACACCAGCAGAGAGAGGAGGGGACGTTCATCCGGCAGGTGTCACCCGGGTGCTGGTCGCACCCCCCCTAGTGACACCACTGCTCATCCGTACTTTGCAGGCTTCAATGCAATAAATGTTTTTATTTTGAGATATGCATGGATTCATTTGTAGGCCAACGTTGAATGTGTCACCCCTCCAATGGTGTCACCCAGGTGTGGGTCGCACCCGCCTAGTGATACCACTGCCCATTTGTACTTTGCAGGCTTCAATGCAAGAAATGTTTTCATTTTGAGGTAAGAATAAACATTTTCTGTTCCTGGAGGCCTATCCCAGGCAAAGTTCAAGTGTCACAATGATCTCTAAGCACTGGTATCATGTATCATGAATCAGATTGGTCGTTAGAAAAGCAGGAAGCAGGAAACTGTACAGTCCCACGGTGATCGGATCAGCTGGGTGTGAGCGCTCTGGGTCTGCATTGTGGAACAAGGCTCTTGTAACGCAAGGTCGCCTAGAACTAGGTAATCTGTAGTAGGAATCAGTTCACAGCGTTACACAGTCAGCGCTGCTTCCATCCAGTCCAGCTTCCTGTGGATCGGGAAGCAGCCCGGGAAGCAGCCCGAGAATCCGGCATTTTATCCAATACTAACTTGCTGTCATTGCTGGCAGTGAATGTATCACCTGCCGCCATCTAGTGGCGGGACTGTGCTAGTGCCGCTCCCTTGTCGTCACTCCCAGTTGTCACTCGGGTCTTGAAGTGTCGCCATTGCAGTGCAGAGTGTCCATATCTAGAAACCTTCACACGTGTTGCTTTCGATACTGTCAGCTATTTTTAGTCAGTGTAGATTAGCAGTTGTGAAGATAAAAACACATTCCGTTTTGTTGCTCGTTTTACACATATGACAATTGATTTTTTTTTTCTGTCATTGCCCTGCAAGGAAATGTTCCTGATTCCATGTCACAAACATGGTGCTCACCAAGACTTCAAGTCAAGGAGACCACTTTAAGGGCCCATTCACACCATCAGCTGCGCTATACCCTGCTGGCTAATGGTGCCCGCCCGGACACATCACACTGTTACCTTTTTTTTTTTGGTTAGAACTTTATTGAAATGTCACAAGTGACATTTCATTAAAGTGACATTAACCTTCCTGGCGGTAATCCAAAGTGTGGCTCAGGGGTAAATGTTCCGTACCAAAAACGGTAACCCCGAGCCACACTGGGGCGTCTTCCGGGTTCCTTCCCTGCGAGCGCTGGCATTGCAGGGAGGCGGAACCAGCAGGAAATTCAAAAGTAAAAAAAGAAAAAATACTGAGATAATCATAGCGCCAGGGAGGTTAAAGGCTAATTTTTTTCCCCTCCCCCCAACGTTAGTGTAAGGACTTACCTTAAATCATGCCTCTTAATCCGATCAACTTCTTCCTTACTGTCCTTTTCAGCTTTCCCTCCAGCGCTGGTGCGAGTCTCCAATCCAGCGCTGACTCCTCTGTCCTCCTCTTCTCTGATGTTCCACGGAGTCTGTGCGGGTGCACGCTGCTCCATATACTTACCTTGTGTCTCTCCTCGTCTCCTGGCCGAACATCTGAACTGCGCAAGAGCCTGCCACAGGATCCTTTGCGGCATTCAGATGTTTAGACAGGAGTGCACGGCGAAGACACAGCTAAGTTTAAACTTGTTTGAAAGGTTTTGTTTTTTTTTGTAAAGTTTTTGCATAGATCTACTGCTTGCTAGCAGTAGATCTATGCAAAAACGCTGAGGGTTTATTAACCCATTAAGCTCTATGGGCACAGCACGGTGCGATGCGGTTGTACCATGTCATACTGCGCTGCACCGGAACAAAGTACTGCATGCCATACTTTCAAAAAGTGCACACCAACACGACGCAGTGATGTTAACTAAACCCACCAGGAACGAGGCAAATTGCTTTATCTTGCGTTGCGGCTGCGCTGTAAAACTGGCCTTTCTTTTTTTTTTTCTGTACCTTCTAACTTCCAAGATAGCAGCAAATATAAAGTATTAGTTTCTGCTAATACTAGTAATAAAGTAGTAATTTCTGCTTTAAGCTTTGATCCATTTCTAGCAAATACCTCCTTCTAGAAGTGTTGAAATGACAGTTGTAAAGTTGAGTAATGAAACATGTTAACAACAGGTCAAAGGGGGTGGAGTGGGAAAACAAGGGGTAAGAAGGCATGCTTATAGGTAAGGTTATTGGGGTGGGGGGTGTTGGTCACTTTTAGCAGTAGCACAATTCAAAGGTGTGTAAATATATAGAGTAGGTGTGAAAAAAAAAAGCTTTAACCAATGTTAATCCTGAGTGTAATCAAGATTTGTTCAATAACTGGTGATAAAGCAACTAGAAAGTAAAAAAGATGAGCACAAGGTGAAGACTGGACATAACTAGAGGCACATTAAAATATAAGAGTAAAAAGAGTGTGCTTAAAGAGATTAAAAGCTGCAGTAAACTCTTTCAGGAGTTTTCTTCCAGTCTTTGTGGGAACACATATAAATATATGCGGTATAACATTAGTGTAATAGATGAGCTTTCTGCGGCCTTCTAAATTGTCTTTGCATTCCTCCGCCTTCACTTTTGCTTTTGGATTTGCCTGCAGACATCCATTGATAGGCAGACAACTAAGTCTGAAAAAATGTAAACTGTAATGTAAATTTGTACTTGTTTTTTGAGCTAGGTATTGCCTAGTGGGTGCTTGAGCAGCTATACAGAGAATTCCATTATATAATTGACTGTTACTTTAGTAAAACAATACACCTAACCTATTGTACATACGCTATATGGTCAAAAGTTTAAAGACACTTAACCATCATACCTGTATAAGCTTTTTTTGTATATCTCATTTGAAAAGCATTGGCAATAGGGAGTGCCCCCCCCCCTCCCCCCAAAGCACCCAGGAAGCTCATTGGGAGACTTTACACAAAATTTTGGAGGGTGTTTGTGGGACCTGGTTACCTTTCAGCCAAAGCAGCATTTGTGAGGTCTGGTACTGATGTTGGATGAGAAGACCTAGCTCACACCTGACATTCCAATTCATCCCAAAGGTTTTTAATAGGGTTGAGGTCAGGGCTCTTTGCTGGCCACTCAAGTTCCTCCACATCAAACTCATCACTCCATGGAGGTGGTTTTGTGCATTAATTATCATTCATATCTGTATATAAATTACATAGAGTAACCACAGGTGAGCAGAGAAGGTTCAAATGCATAAATTCCAGAGGCCCAACAGCAGCCTCATGGACATGGGCATATGATATATGGTGCTTTCATAAAGAAAACTTCAGAGTCCCTTTTCATACAGTACATGCAGTTAATGTGAGAGATCTCTGTATCATCCTTGCCTCCTCTGTAAGTGCAACATAAATTAATAGAGCCAGCCAACATACTGCCACATGCTGACAGGTTGCATTGGTCCACAGTCTGGCTTCCTTAAGGATGGTCAGAATTTCTTTCATTAAGAATTGGTGAGGCCAATGTGAAACAGTTAAAAAAATAATGCAAGGGTAGTTGACCTCGTCATTACTGCAAATATTCTATATGAGACTTATACTTTAATAATTACTAATTATTTTTGCAGGTACAGGCCTACCATCATGCCGTCTCCTGGCTTTGAACTGCAATTGGAGAAACCCGGATTACGTGGAGCAAAGCAGCCCCGCTGCAGACTGGCCTTGACTTTGCCTGGTGCTGATTACTTAGGCGCTTCTAGCCAGCCTCGCACAAAATCTTGTGGCCCTGAAAATAAGTTTCTAAAGCTTTCCATGGAAAACAAATGCACTATGACTACTAACTCAATTCTGACCACTGATTCAAATCTGTCCTCTCAGTCAATGTTGTCTTCAAAACTTTTACTAACCAGCAACCCTCTTGTTTCCCTGACTTCTCAGTCACATTTGACTAATAAACTGTCATCTTCCATTTCACCTTCGGGCCTATTCGGCTCATCTCTGATGTCTACAAATTTTCTGACCACTAACAAAGCTTCAGATTTAGATGCAGCCTTTTCTGCACTCACCTCCACTTCTTGCTCTTCTCTGCCTTCTGTTGGAACTGTAAGCGGTACATCTTTGTCTACTGAAAATCAAATGTTTAAGCGTTTATTGTCCCCGAAAACTACAACTTCTCACTCCTCAGTGGTTGCTTATTCAGCAGGAGATCATGGCTTGTGTGTGAATAGTCAGGTTGAAACTCCTAATCTTTCAAATTCGTTTAAACACACAATGACCTCCCTGTCTTCTGTTCCCTCTGGTGTAGCCATTAATAGTTCTTTTACTTCTAAGACTGAACCCCTCAGCCTTTCTCCAGAATCACTTCTTTTACCCTCCATCGGTATAAAGTGTGATATCAAAAGCAACAAAAACACACTAACCCACTCAGCTCTTTCCCCGAGCTTAACTTCAAATTTACAGCCTACAATAGGGCTTGGGCAAGCAACATCTGAAGATTCTGAGTCAGAGGAAGGTGAATTGCCAGAAGATGATACGTTGGAAAATTCATCTGATGGAGAGTCACTGACGTCAGATGCTGAGGTACAATGTGCAGGCATAGTGTGTATGTGGTATATTTTCCTATTAAAGTGACATTAAACCCTCAGATTTTTGAACATAAAGCAATAGTGTAATGTGTGCCTTACTGTAATCCATGGTTGTTTCCCTTCTCTTTGCTGCTCTTCCTTTTAAATCTGTATCTCTTCTCATGCTGGGCAGAACTTCCCTTTGCAGCTGAGTGCCTCTTCCTGTAGTGCTGGCTCAGGTTGTGAACCTTCACACAGACACCATGTATCCATTTCAGAGACAAGGCAGTCAGCTGCAAAACAGAAGTTCTTCCCAGCATGAGAAGAGATACAGATTTAAAAGTAAGAGCAGCAAAGAGAAGGGAAACAACCATGGATTACAGTAAGGCACACATTACAGTATTGTTTTATGTTACAAAATCTGAGGGTTTAATGTCACTTTAAAGCATTACCATGTCTATAGATTGTTTATTTGCTTTTATTCAACAGTTTGCTATGGAAAACCTCTCCTCACAACCTGCGGCATCTGCTGATAGTGAACCATCTGCACATGAGCAACTACAAATCACGGAGGAGGCATCTGAAGCTCTCAGTAACCAAAAATCAGAGACTCTTCTCAAACAGAAGAAGGTCAGTGGTTCGTTAAACAATCATATTTATGGAGTTTGCCATTTAAAAGAAATATAAATTATACAACTATAAATTATAGTTTCCCTTTAAAAATAATGTTGTGCTGACCTTTTATATGTATATTTTGTAAATATGTTTCTTTCCCTTATCTTCTAGATGGCTTTATTATCTGCAGTTTGCTGTTCGTTGGTTAATTCACCAAACTTCTCAGACCCTTCAGATCTGACCAGGTCTGATATTCAGACCTTGTGTGAAGATATAGCAGGACTGGATGCAGAGTTTGTTCTAAAAGTAAGAGTATCAGCTGCATGTGTAAATATTATTGATATTATTATTATTATTATTATTATTATACTGGATTCACGTAGCGCCAACAGTTTGCTCAGCGCTTTACAGTACAGTTACAATATAAATCAAGATAAGAGGGTTAGAAGGGCCATGCTTGTGAGAGCTTACAATCTAAAAGGGAAAGGCAAGTAATTTTAAAGGTAACTGTGTGAAGATGAGTTGATGGAGAAAATAAAATGTAAGCTGTTGGGTAGAGGTAGGATAGGCTTCCCTAAAGAGATACGTTTTCAGGGATCACCTAAAGCCAGACAGATTGGAGTAGGGAGTTCCAGAGGATGGAAAAGGCTCTGGAGAAGTCCCGGAAGAGTGCATAGCAGGTGAGGAGGTTTTCGAAGGAGTGTAGTTATTTACTGAGAATATCCATAAATTAGGCCAATTATTTGTTTTAAAAAAATCTGGTAACTGCTATACACTGTGCATACTGCATTCTTTATACCTTTGCCACTGGGACTTTTTTTTCCCATTGCAGGTTGCTTTGTACACTCGCCAGGAACTCAATATTCGTAGTACTGCAAACTTCCTGCTGGCCGTGTCTGCATCACTGCCGGCATGCCGCCCACATCTGCGCAGGTATTTGTGCTCTTCTGTCCAGCTTCCCAGTGACTGGATGGAGGTACCACGCTTGTATCAGGTATGTCCTCTTAGTTCTTTACAATTATTTATAGGTGTCTATATTGTCCTTTCTAATACCAAAATCACAACTGCTTGGAGAGAGTTTACACCTTTAAATGGGAGGCTTGCCAAACCAATTTTTATGTGCTGATTGGCTCCGCTTTCATTCTTATTTTTTGTTTTGTTTGTTACCACTAACCGTCTACTAACTGGCTGGAATTAACATTTCCGGTAGGTGGGTTTAAAATGATTTCTGTGTCATTTTTGAATTAGAGTCTGTCAGGAAAGGGAGATAACCTGGCTTCCCTGCCTTCTTGCCTCCGCCGAGCTCTTACACTCAAGTTCCAAGAATTCAGCGAATACCAGCTGGCAAAATACAATACTCGTGTACAAAGAGGAAAGCGTGATTGCAAGAAAAAGATTGAGAAAAAAGACAAAGTAAGAAGGCTTCTTTCCAACATGTTTTACTGCTTCACTGATAACACATTTACTGGATGTTTCAAGTTGTATGGCCATTTACTATGAAGTTCTGTTATTTGTTATACCAGCAATCGGCTAAAACTCTGTGGCCTCTAAACAGTTATCAGGCTCCTACTAGATACATTAGTATATATAGTATATATTAGTATATATAGTATATATATATATATAGTACATATCCACAGAGCATGCACATTTTCCCATGCTTTATCAATTTAAAGACACAGAAAGTACTTAAAAATACCAGTTGAGCTGCCAGAAATACCCTTTCTTAAATGTTGTTATGGGATGACAACACACAGCAGTTTTGTGGGCTGAGTTTTCTCTTGCCAAACTATTCAGACCCACCTCTCCTTTTACCACAATATTAAGCCTAAAGCTAGGTACACACAAATCTAATTTCAGCCAATTCAGCAGGAATCAGACAAAAGTTGTTTCGTGGACAGTCCTGTCTCCTCAACAAAAGTCGATCATTATTTAGACTTTTGTGGAAGGGAAATGCTGGAAAATTGTCGTGTGCTCATGGCCAATCAGCTGCAAGTGCTGTTTGGGTATTCTGACAGTGCCAGGTGCTGCTGTCAGAACACAGTGGACACAACAGGAGATTTGTCCATCCACGCTGTTAGTCTGGATGGATTAATCTGTCAGATTTTTTAATTCAGCCTGTCAGTCTGTATTTATCCTAATTATTCTGTAGTCCCAAGATAAGGACTGGAAGGGCTAATTACTCTCTGAGATAATACAAGAAGTGAGCACTGGACACAGGACAGCTCTGAATTTCCGACATGAGTAACAGGTATTTTTTTTGCACTTAAAGGAGAACTATGGGGTTAAGGCTTTTCCCCATAGTTCTCCTTAGGGTAACGGGAGGACACAAACTATGGTCCTCCCGTCACCCTAAGCTCAGTATACTGCGAGCTACAGCTCGCGGTATACTGAGACGCCGCAGCTGAAGCGGATCCCGACAATTATGTCTGGATCCGCCCAGCTGTGTGAGTGACAGCTGGCTCTGCCTATCTAGAGGAAGAGCCAGCTTTACCCGCCCCTCCCCCGTCCGTTCCGCCAGTCAGCGCTGGAGGATCGGAGCGGGGAGAGGGGAATCCAGCCCCTCCCCTGTCACAGCAGAGAGCCGTGACAGGATCGAGAGGTGAGCGAACGCCGGTATGTGTTCGCTCACTTCCTGATCTACTGAGCCGACCTGTGACAGTCTCATTGTCACAGGTCGGCTTGATCTATGAGGTGAGTGAAAAGCACTCACCTCATAGTTCTCCTTTAATACAGAAATAACAAATCTCTTTCAATGGTATATTTTAAACAGACCAAAAGGGAGCAAAATTCTTTGTTAGGGTTTACATACACTTAAAAAAAAAAATTTGATATGTTTCTTAAAGTTTCAAGAGATCTTTCAATACTTCAGGAATAATGCTCTCCTGTAAATACACCTCATTTACTTTTAGTAAAGGGGACCGTTCACGCTTTGCCATTCTTATGCATTGCATTAATGCACATTATTGTCACACATGAACATGTGTTGTTTTAGTCCATTCATTTTAAAATAGGCTCCATACACAGCGTAACAAACAAAACGTACATGTGTTTTTTCATACATGCATTTTTTCCAACACGGCCCACCACAATGCACAGTAGTACATTACCACATGTGCATATGCATTGGGCCTGCATTTCCTCCGTGTGCTGGGGTGTTATTCAAAATGCCATTTCTTGGTGTGTTGTATTTTTTGGGTAAAACAAAATAATCACAATGGTTCACAATGGATATTAGTGTGTTTGAACTAGTGATAATGGTTAGGTTATGTTTAAAGGTTATGTATTCCCTTTGAGGCTGATGTTATCTCAGCCATTGTAGTAGCTAATCTAACCTGCCTCTAGTGACTAATCTACAAATCTGTACATTTAATGCAATGGCTAAAATATAGTTTATAGGGAACACAAATAAGTACCTAAAGATGTGAAAGTATTGTAAAAATGACAGTGAAGCAACTACTACAGTAATGCCTCAAACTTTGTGTTCACAAAAACTAGATTTACTCTTCAAATTAATAATCAATACGATCTGCGCCAGTAAAGTACAGTGAAAGCTACTAAGCACTAATGAACAATAATCAAACAAATATAAATAGTGAAATGTGCCGAGCTAAAAAAATAAATCAAAACAGTGAGAAGGCAGTATGACATATCGTGTCAATAAAAAAATGTGGAAAGAAAATAAATACAATCACAAAACATGCTATAAATATACAAATTCTCGTGAAAATGTTCCATAAATGTAGAAATCAAAGTGCAGTCAACATGAAGTAATAGACCTCTAAATCCAGTGAAAATAGTGAACTGAAGAGTGATCTTCTATCAGAGGTAACTTGCAAACCGCACACCAGAAAGATGCTTCAATCAAGAATAGGTGAGTAGCAAGAAAACAGGTGTGTGCTCACCTGAAGTAATGACCCGTAAAGGTAATTAAACGCTGTTTCCTTAGCGGGGAGGGACACCCTTTAAACGCTAACTCTGGATACGCTCATAGCAGATGCACATTTAGTAGAATCCATCCAGAAAGAGACAAACAGAAAACACATAGCGCGTATCGTCCAATTAATATAAAGTTTTAATCCATAAAAAACGTAATCCCATAGATCTCAGTGAGTGAAGCAAAGAAAATAATCTCAGTCCAGAGTCCAGCACGAGCATACACAAACGAGAAAGCCCTTCCGGCCAGACCAAGAGGATGGCGTCAGTAGCTCCGCCCACCCTACACACGTTACGTCTCACGTGACTTCATCAGGGGTGTGGCAGTTATGTCTCACTTGACTTCAGGGATGAAGTCACGTGAGACGTAATGCGCCTAGGGTGGGCGGCGCTACTGACATCATCCTCTTGGTCTGGCCGGAAGGATGGGGGGGGCTTTCTCGTTCGTGTTGGACTCTGGACTGAGATTATTTTGTTTGCTTCACTCACTGAGATCTATGGGATTAAGTTTTTTATGGATTAAAGCTTTATATTAATTGGACGATACGCGCTATGTGTTTTCTGTTTGTCTCTTTCTGGATGGATTCTACTAATGTGCATCTGCTATGAGCATATCCCAAGTTAGCGTTTAAAGGGTGTCCCTCCCCACTAAGAAGGGAACAGTGTTTAATGACCTTTACGGGTCATTACTTCAGGTGAGCACCCACCTGTTTTCTTGCTACTCGCCTATTGTGGATTGAAGCATCTTTCTGGTGTGCGGTTTGCAAGTTACCTCTGATAGAAGATCACTCTACAGTTCACTATTTTCACTGGATTTAGAAGTCTACTACTTCATGTTGACTGCACTTTTTGATTTCTACCTTTTATGGGACTTTTTTTCACAAGAATTTTATATATATTGCATGTTTTGTGATTGTATTTATTTTGTTTTCACATTTTTTTATTGACATGATATGTCCTACTGCCTTCTCACAGTTTTGATTGCTTTTTTTTAGCTTGGCACATTTCATTATTTACCCTTCAAATTGTTGAGGTATTTAAAAATTCCCCGAAATAGCACATCAATATTATTATATGCGTTTGCCTACTTTCTCCTTTGTTAGCTTCATTTAAGAAATAAAACATTTTTTATTGTGTATTTTTTTAGGTTTTTAAAACGTTGAAGTTTGGTAGAAATTTAAGGGCGTTGGAGTCTTCCCTAAAGCTTCTTCAGAAACAGGTGGGCTTTTTCACAGCATGTTATCATGTACCAACTGTGTTAATGCATTATACTTCCTCGAACAATAAGGTGTATTCTGTGACTAAGTTGTGTCTCTTTGCAGCTTGATGAGGCTGACTCTGCTTCCACTGAGAAGAAAAAGAAGAAGAAAGACAAATTTTCTTTGAAGAGTTTGATTCAGAGATTACATATTTCTAAACCAGCTTATCATGTCATGAGTCTGCTTGGTTGCAGGTCAGCAGTTTTTCTTTTGTTTATAATAATACATTTGTGTCCCACACAATTGATTCACCATATCCTTTTTTGTTGTATGGACAGGTATCCTAAAGACTTGACGTCCTTCTCACGTAGCGGTCTTGAGGGTCCCTGGCAATCACATCTGTCAGGACAAAGAATGAAGCTAAAACAGCCAGAGACCTGGGAAAGAGAACTGAGCCAGAAAGGAAACACTGGCCCTGTATGGGAGAGTCTGCTAGGTAAGTAACATACATGGGTACTGCAGGCAAGAGCAGAGACAGATGTAGAAGTTTAGTCTGAAAATGTTAATTTTCTGAACGTTCGTTCGATTTTCAACCACAGCGACAAAGAATATTGAAGGATCAGGATGGAGAATTTTTTTACTTTCTTATCTGAATGAACAAAATTCTAACCCATGAATGTGATTTTTGTTCAGGAAAAATGTTTATATTGTAATGCATATGTGCTAGGCACAAAAGAAACATATTTAATACGTCTGAGATTCCATTCAAGTAGGAAGCTTTGGATGTAATTTTAAGAACTTTCAAATGAAATTATTTGACTGAATGATGGCAAATCCAATGCTCCGACAAAATATCTCAAACAAACTTTTCGAACAAAAGTTCTAACAATGTATGTCTTGGCTACTTTACAACACACACAGGGACCATGGGGAGCAAAAGTAGCCCCCCTCCAGAAGGAAGAACAGTGTCCGCACCAATTCAGAGATGATTTGCGTAGTGGTTAGCGCTTCTGCCTTGCAGCACTCAGGGTCCCTGGTTAGTAATGGCGCCAGGTCACTATCTGCAAGGAGTTTGCATGTTCTTGCGTGGGTTTCCTCCCACATTCTAAACACATGCTGGAAGGTTAATTGGCTCCTGTCTAAATTGGCCCTGTGTGTACAGTATGTGAGATAGGGACCTTGGACTGTAAGCTCCTTGAGGGCAGGGACTGATGTTAATGTGCACTATGTAAAGCGTTGTGTAAATTGGCGGTGCTATATGAATACCAATAATAATTTGAGGATCTACAGCTGAGTGATACACAAATAAGATACATTTAATAGTTAAGTTACTTTGAATGCATTTTTAAGATTTAACTCCTGACTTTAGTGTCACTTTAAATAGTAGAACAAGGTAAAGCAGATTTCCTGCAGGGATGTAGAATTGTAAAAAAATTCAATGTGGGAATTTATCAAAACTGGAGCAGACAGAATTTGGAGCAGTTGCCCATAATAAACAATCAGCTTCTCTCTTCAGTTTGTTCAGTTAAGCTTTGAAAATGAAACAAAGCTGATTAGTTGCCATGGGCAACTGCTCCAGATTCTGCCTGCTCCGGTTTTGATAAACTCCCCTTTTTTTTTTTGGGTTTTCGGTAAAAAAAAAAAGTCTGTCATTCAGTAGCATGTAGAAATCCTAACTGGTTTCACACCCGCATGGCACTTTATAATCAGTACCTGTACACTGAAAAGATACAAAAGTGCAGGATTTAGAGAGAATATATAGTGGTTTCTTTTTTTTTTTTTGTATATTATGGTCAGGACTGAAAACAAAATAGTTGTAAAAAATAGAAGTTGGTTTAGTCACAGCTAACCATGGTTGTATGTTCCGTCACAATGTTCTTCCTTTTTTTTTTTAAATACAGACAATCGTAAAGTACCATTCATGGCTTTATTGAGGAACCTGAGGAATATGATAAGAGCAGGTATTAGTCAGAAGCATCACATAGCGGCGAATGCACGGCTAACCAATCAGGTATTCTATTCTGCCTCAGTCTTTTCTTTGAATGCACTCATTTCTAGGTGTGTATGCCATGTAATCTTCAACTTTCTCATTTTAAAGGGCAAAAATATACAAGCCTCTGAAACATCTCTAAAACTTTCCAATGATTCCAAGTAGCAAGTGTAATTAGGATGTAGTAAGACTAAACATTACAGCTTACATACTGTAAATATAAATTGAACTAAAAAACAACCATTTTCTTTACGATTCATTTCTAACACACCCGGCCATTTATGGTAATACTTTTAAAATTCTGTAGTCTAAACTTCAAAGATCTAGGCCAAGATTATTAGAAACACAAAGGGGTAGGCTACATTTGTATTTGTGCAAGGTGTTTCTCTGTGAAAACTGCCATGAGATTGTATTTTTGGTGGTGTATCGTACTACCATGTAATTACATGTGGTTTACCCTGTGTGCTTTGTTCAGCGTGCTGTGGTCCAAAGCCGCCTTTTCCCATTCCGTTTCCTTTCTGCATACAAAGTCATTCAAGATTTAGAGCATCAGCTTCAAAAAGCAGGTGGGATCTTTATATGTTTCTATTTGGTATATAACTGCAAGGATTGAAGTATTTAGTAAATATATTTGAAGGGTTAACGTTCTTATGCCCTGTCCCTAAAAAATCTCACCATATGCAAAAATGAACTCATGTAGTGTTGCGTATTGTACTTTCAAAAAGAATTACTGATAAGTGAGCTTATTTTAACAAACAATATTAACGAATGCAAAATACACAAATAATTAAGAAAGAATGTGTGTTGTGGCTAGAGAGGGGAAGAGGTTTTTCTTCACTCTTTGAACCCACTGGGGAGATTCTCTCTGTCTCTGTATCTCTCTCTGTCTCTGTATCACTCTCTGTCTCTGTATCTCTCTCTGTCTCTCTGTAGCTGTGTGTCTCTCTCTCTCTGTATTTCTCTTTCTTTCTCTGTATCTCTCTCCCTCTCTCTGTATCTCTCTCCCTCTCTCTGTATCTCTCTCCCTCTCTCTGTATCTCTCTCCCTCTCTCTGTATCTCTCTCCCTTTCTCTGTATCTCTCTCCCTCTCTCTGTATCTCTCTCCCTCTCTCTGTATCTCTCTCCCTCTCTCTGTATCTCTCTCCCTCTCTCTGTATCTCTCTCCCTCTCTCTCTCTCTCCCCCCTGTTTTATTGAAAACAAGAATACAGACAGCAATAAAAACCTCTAACCTCTCTGGCCTATACACAATGAAATTAAATGTTTTGTCTGGAGTTAGGGTTTATTAGATCTTGGTAAACATCTCCATTCAACAATCCTTCATAGGAGAATCATTCCCTAACAATGCTGCCCTCCTCCGGAGTATCTTTCGCCGGAAAGGGAAGAATATTCCACAGCTAGCACGCATGCGTTTCACACGGCGTCAACTCAGAGCAAGTTTGGCTGTTCCTGTTGTTCATCAACTACTTAAAAGAGAAAAAGAGGCAGTCAAGAAAGCCAGGTGAGGAAAATAATGTAATTACCTGAGAAAGTGAATTGAGTTCATGGTATTAACTATGTTTTTTTTGCTGATTTTATGATGTAGAACAATAAAGTTTGATGAGGATGTCCTTCAAAGCTATAAGAAATCACTGGAGGAAGCTATTCGGATATCAGCCCGTTACAACATCCCACCCATTCCTGGGCGTACAGTCATCCTGATGTATGTAGATGGAGTCATGTATACACCGTGTCATGGAGCAAAAGAACTAGCGACCTCCACAGCTGGAAGTGGGCCACCATCTGTAAGTTGCATCACGTATTAAAATGACCTGTGTGTAGATCTTGTTATAAAATAACGCTTATGACAATACAATGCTTAGCCAACATACAAGGTCTTCCAATTGTTTCCATATATTGAAACCCATGGGATATCATTTTCTTAGCTAACTTACATATTCACCTTATGAGTTATGTCCAGCAACTTCCCAATAAGTACATAAACAATACAATACTATATCTTCCATAAACAGTGAGCATTACAGACTTGCCCGAACGCTCACACTGGTGAATTTGTTAAGCCAATTAGACCAAACTTCTGTTGGGACTTTCAGAGCTGTTATAGCCATTTCACGCACACAACAAAGAAAAAAACAGTTGTCTGTTTCTCTAATGCGGTTTCCAGCAAAACACACCTTCCATTGCGATGATTGGTAAAGCATGTAAAATGTACAAAAAACATGTCTAAAACTCCACACACCTAAAACCAGCAATATATTAAATGAAAATCATCCTGTGGTGGTCCAGTGGAGGATCAGTATGATCTGCATCTCTTGGTGATGCAGACCATACTAATCGCTCCCTCGTGGTGCCGCTGCTCACAGAAGGATAGATTAGTATGGTCTGCATTAGCCAGAGATGCAGATCACACTGATACTCCACTGGACCACCAGGATAATCCCTGAGTGCCCCACTGGACCCCAGGGATGCAGTCCCCTCCATGCAAAACAGGTAAGCAGGAGGGGGAGGGGGGGATTTTTAAATTAATATTAACTATTAACTTTTAATTAGTGTTTTAATGAGTGTGTGTGATATGTGTCTGTATTTTTTAAAAAGTTTCTGTTTTATGAGTATGTGACATGTGTGTGTTTTTTAATGTGTGTGTGTGTGTGTGTTTTTTAATAGGTGTGTGATATGTGATGTGTGTTTTATTGAGTGGGTGATTTATGTTTTGTGTGTGTGTTTTATTGAGTGGGTGCGATGTGTGTGTTTTTATATATGTGTGAGATGTGTGGGTGTATTTTATGAGTGTGGTGTATTTTTATGAGTGTGCGTGACGTGTGGGTGTGTTTTTATGTGTGGGTGTGGTATGTGATGTGTTTTTATGAGTGTGGGTGTGTTTTTATGAGTGTGTGTGATATGTGTGTTTATGAATGTATGATTATATGTGTTTGTATCTGTGAGTGTATAAATGTTTGAATATGTGTGTTCCCCTATTTTCCTAAGGCAGTAATGCAGAATGTTTTTTAAACCCCAGTGCCCAAACTAAAACACAATCCAGAACTTATTTTCAGTGTTGGCACTTTGAGATAAATTGATTTTGTGTTGCAGTTTGTTAGCCATCACTGTTCTAGTCTATAAACCTCTAGATGGAATACAATACAAAAATATGGAAGAGCAGGCATTTAAAATGTGAAATTCACAACAAGTTTACTTTTCTTCACTAATATCTAATTGCATAAAACAATTTAATATATAGCAGCTCACCAGTCCTTATATGTGGTGGCTGCATTTGTTTTCATTGCTCAGGCTTAGAATATTTTTAAAACGTACAGAATTACCCATTGATCTGGCCAGAAATGTAGTCTCCTTGTACCTTCCCGTGCGTTGATTGTAAAGCGTTTTCCTCTTTTGCAGCCAAATTGGGATAACATCTACTTTACATTTGTTACATGTTCCCAATCACATAGCATAACTTAAAAAAATGCAGTTTACCTTTTTTGTTTAGATGTTCTTTTTGCTAATTCCAGGACTGAAAAATCCTGCTCAGTTCTCACTGTCTTGAGGGTTGGGGAGGGTTGTTTTCAAATAATGAACCCTGTCTGAACTGTGCTGGCTGATTTTATTATCAGTTGTAAACTACATGAGCAGGACTGTCTGTCCTAACAAAGGGTTAAAGCTCAGAGGACATTGCATGTTTATGAGGAGATGGTCAGTCTGTCTTAAGTCTTTCTATTAGGACAGACAGTGTTTCCTGTTACTGAAAGGGAGACAGGAGCGTGCAAAGGCCTGCTAAATAGAGACAACTAAAAGGTAAGTAATATTTTAAAAATTATATATTTTTAGATATCCTGTGTGAATGGGAACACATAACAAACAAACATTTATAGGGGTTTTCTCAATTTTGACTGCAAAAGTGGAAACTCGCTTTAAACAACAATAACAAATGGTAAATAACAAATAATGTTACCTTCCTAGCAAGCTATCTTTTTTAAACTATAAATTATCCGCCCTCAATGTAATGGAGATAAAGAGAGGGGGAGGTGTTTGAAGTTCAAATCAGGAATGCAGTGGACAGCTCTGCTTCTATAGTACAGTACAGTGATAGTAACAAAGAAGAAACATGGGGCTTTTAAAGTGTCCAAACCATACAACATGTCCATAAGACACACGTAATCTTGTATTAAACAATACATTTTATTTCATTAAAACAACATGATTTTGATGAAATAAAATTTAGTTTTTAATACAAGATTACGTGTGTCTTATGGACATGTTGTATGGTTTGGACACTTTAAAAGCCCCATGTTTCTTCTTTGTTCTTATATAATATAAATTAGGGGTGTGGTGCCTATCCCTACTGGTTCAATGTTTAAGTATTTAAACAGTACAGTGATAGAACTGTGTCACCCTAGAACAGGAAGTGTGTTATGTTACAGGATTACCTGGTGAAAAAGAAAACAAATGCAGTCACCACATCAAAGGACTTGTACGCTACAATATATTACATTTGAGTGTTTTTGGGTTTAAATACACTTTAAGGTAAACACGGTAAAAAACACTATGGGGTCTATTCACAAAAGGGTGAAGAGTTTGGAGAAGGCAGGAGAGGTGAACAATCTAGGACAAGGTAGCTGAACTGGAAAGTGAGCTGAATTGGAGAATGTTTCCAAATCAGCTATGTTGTCCTAGATTGGTCACTTCTCCTGCCGTCTCCAAACTCTTCACCCTTTTGTGAATAGACCCCATAATATATGTGCATAAACGTTACCTTTTTTAAAAGAAAAAAAGGTAGCATATCAACAAATGACAGTGGGCAAAGTGCCACAACTTGTTGGAACCAATCAGATTTCATATTTTATTATAAATCATTCAAAAGAATAAACACTGGTGGGAATTTATCATGGCAATTGCGAGTATTTGAACTTGCACGGAATATATTTGATGCACTTTGCGCCAGATTTAGGAAGCTAGTGTAATGTTGTTCATAAATGAGGTTTAATAGACTCCAGGCAAAAAAGCTTAACTGTCGCTTCATGAAGAAGTGGTCACGGGGACTTCTTAAGTTGTGATGGTTTTGTTAGGTGATGCTCCAGTTTTAGACAGCCGCAGAACAAGTGCAGATGTAAACAGGTGCAAAACATGTGCAGTTGGAAAAGTAGTGCAAGCTCTGGTCAAAACAGGGGCACGTGTTAAAAGACAGATATGCACATAAACAAAAAAGGATCAAAGAGGCTAAAACTATCGCAATTGCTTTGATAAATTCCCCCCAATGAGTTTTGCTTGCTTGGGCAAACTGCAAGGGTTAAGTGCTCATTTTGGTCTAGGGAAAAACAACACAGATATATGCACCTGATCCTCGATCTCGCCTGGTTCCTAGACCGGTCCCTGCATCCTCTCTTCCCCCTCCTCAGTGCGCTAAGGCCCTGTGAGTCATCACGTCCAATACAGTGTGTTAGTTTTGAGGAAGCTGAGGGACATTCTACCGACGAAGCACAGGGTGAGGAAGGCTGCAGGTCCTGATCTAGCAGCCAGGAGGGATCCAGGATCGGGTGAGTATAACTTTGTTATTATATACCCCAGACCAAAACAAGCACTTAACCCTTGCAGTGCAGGGGTAGCTCCTCTACAAGGGTTGATTTGTAATTTGGTTGTTCTTTAAAGATGACTACACCTCACATTGTTCTCAGCCTTATAAAAGAAGTATAAACATGTAAGCTTTCATTTGATCTTGTGTTATTTTTATAGCTGCTGTGTTTACCTCACACTCTTTTTACTCTGCAGCTCCTAGATGTGGGTTTGCTGTTGAGTCTAATGGTAAAAGAAACAGCAGAAAGCGCTGAACTTGTCCTGTACAACGACCATGAATATTCCTTGGTGGAACACTCCTCAAGTCCTCTTCTTCAGCGTGTGGAAGAGATCAAAACACAAATATCAGTAAGGAAGACAGACTTTAGTATATTTCTCCCAGTACAGGTTTCCTTTAAGCCTTGGGTAGGCAAACTTGGCACTCCAGCAGGTGAAACTACAAATCCCATCATGTCTCTGGGAACCATGCAAATGGCTGTCAGAGTCTTGCAGTGTCTCATGGGACTAGTAGTTCCACAACAGTTGTTGAGGGCGAAGGTTGCCTACCCCTACTCTAAGCTGTCATGGAGGGTTTTTTTTACAGAGTTCTTTCATTTTTCTTAGGAATTGTCAGGCTCGTCAGCCTTACCCTTTGAAGAGAGACATCCAGGAGCAGAGTACCTTTTGGAGCTCCTTATGAAACGAAAAAAGGTAAGCAGAAGCAAGCCAGGTGATGGCTGTGACTAGCACAGATACCAAGGTTACGTACAGGTAAAGTACAGATACTTTTCCAGCTACTAGATTAGAGAGAATTTATTGTCATGTGACAGTTTTCCTAAAACAATATCGACTAATGATTTCAGGACAGTGGTGGAGCATCGGGGCCAGGTCCCAGCTGCAAACGCTGCAACCCTGGTAGTTCTCATGAAAATGCCAAGTATCTGCACTGGTATCTGAACATTCCTAGTTATGACTGATCATGCAAATTTCTGCTATAAAGCCTACAGTATTAAATTAAACCTCCTTTTATAGTATTCTTTAACTCATTTTATTCACCTATTTTTAACTTCTTGTTCATATTCCATGAAGCTCTCTACACACTGCTGTTGTGCCAATCTAAAGGCCACGTGACGTTTGGAGGTCTGTAGCTTTTGACTCTGCAGACAGTTGGAGACTTCTGCGCACTCTGTGCTTCAGCATGTGCTGACCCCGCTCCGTCATTTTACGTGGCCTACCACTTCGTGGCTGAGTTGCTGTTGTTCCCAGTTGCTTCCACTTTGTTATAATGCCACTAACAGTTGACTGTGGAATATTTAGTAGCAAGGAAATCTCACGGAACACCTGAATCCAATGATTTGGAGGGGTGTCCCAATACTTTTGGCAATAAAGTGTACAATGAGCACTTTTTTTAAAGGAGATTTAAAGGCCCCAGCATGATGTTAAGAAATGTTAATATACTTATACAAAATATCTTCTTACTTTTAAAAACACTGTGAGGGGAATTTATCAAAACTGGAGCAGACAAAATCTGGAGCAGCTGTGCGTGGCAACCAATCAGCATCTCTCTTTTTTTTCCAAATCTTAACTGAACAAACTGAAAATGAAGCCTGCTTAGAAACGCCCACGCCTCCAGATTGATATTCACTGATCAAGGCATTTTGATATTTGCATCACTTCTCCTAAGAGCCAGCTCGTTGCTTGCATCAGGGCTGAGGGCTCTTCAGAGGAGCACTGAGGTAGGGGGCTGTGATGTATTCAGGAAGCTATGTACAGCATCTTGCTCCCCTCCTACCATCCATGAACTGCCTACATTGCATGAAGTGACGACATCTCTGGGTCTAAAATAAGATATGCAATGAAAACCTATAGATATTTCAAAATGTAATTAACATGTTGATGAAGGCTGTGGCGGGGCAGGGAAGGCAAACTATAAGCATATCAAACTGTAGATTTAAAACTGTGGCCTAGAAGTATCTGTTTCTATGGTACACATTGCACACTTTGGAGGACACTTTTCTATAGTGTATTTTTTTTCCAATTCACAGGTGGATACTCTCCTGGTTTTTGCAAACTGCCCCCTTAATGAACAGTTCCAATCTGTGTTGAAGCAGTACCGGCGGACTGTGAATATGGAATGCCTCTGTGTGACAGTACTGCCCCATGGTTTCAAAAGGTACATAATAAACCTGTATTAATGCTTACATTGATCAATTTTCTCCTGTGTCACTTCTATTCTATTGCTCAGGCTGTATTGTTAACAATGCACTTTGCTGCTTATCCCTCATCTCATATCATTCGTAGCTCGGAAGTGTCCTTTATTGAAAAAAAAAACCAACTATCCTCTTCAGCTAAATTATGTAATTCACAAGCATTTTAGCAAACACCATTCGAGAGTCTTCCCTTTTTCTAGTCTGTAGTTACTGAGACAGGTCATTGCAAGAACTCCAGCATTGTATTTATCTTGTTTTGTATAGACCAGGGAATAGTTAGAAAGTCTGGCAGATTTGTATTGCTTTGTGTCACTGTTGGGTAGGTTTCCTTTAACGTTAGGAAGAATGTGGGAATCTCCTCCATAATGAAGATAAATCCCACCTTGAATGTTTTCAGCAGCAACAGGTGTCTCCACTGGAAGATTACCCTTCTACTCATGTGCCAGTGACAACCATAACATTTTGAATTTGTCCTCACTAATGTCTGCCCCTGCGGCAGTGGTCACCAGGACAAATAGTGAGGGTGGAGCACCCCAGAAGCGACACAGACAGCAATAAATACCTGACAGTTGCTCTAACTCTTTCCAAAACTAGGAACAAATAACTGTAACTGGAGTTCTATTTTAAACTAAATGGGAAGGGTCCGCCTGCTACTATGACATAATCGGTCCCAGCATCGTAATATAGAAAAACCTGGGGTCCTGTAGACCTCCTGTGGACATATGAGCAGTATTTCACCAAGAAATGCTCACTGGTTAATGTGTACAGACACTTTTAATGAATTTCTCAAAGAAAGATGATCTGGTACTGTTACATAGTTACATAGTATTTGAGGTTGAATAAAGACATTAGTCCATCAAGTCCAACCTATTAGGATCTCATTCTAGGAGTACCTGTACCCCTGTATATTACGGTCCCTTAAGAAATCGTCCAAAAGTTTCTTGAACAATTCCACATTCTTTGCTGAAATCACCTTCCTTTCTCACCTTTTTACTGTTAATATATTGGTAAAATGTTTTGGGGTTCTTTTTACTATCTGCGGCGATATGCTTTTCGCACTCAGTTTTAGCTGCCCGGATTTCTAGTTTGCATTTTTTGTTACATTCTTTGTAGTTAAGGAACGCCAATGCCGTCCCCTCCGTCTTATATTTTATAAATGCCGCTCTCTTGTCCTTGACGTGTTGTTTTACAGTTTTATTAAACCATATTGGTTTAGTCTTTGATCTTTTATTTTTGCTCCCTAAAGGTATACACTTTGAAGTAGCAGTATGTAGTGTGTTGGTAGCAGTATGTAGTGTGTTAATAGCAGTATGTAGTGTGTTATTAGCAGTATGTAGTGTGTTGTAGCAGTATGTAGTCTGTTGTAATGGAATTAGTTTGCAAAAGTATGTTTGTAGGATGAATGTTTTTGTTCCTTCTGTTTGCAAATGGATATACGGAAGAGCCCTGGGTCCATGCTAAAAAAATATGAAACATCATTTTGAGTTAATCTCAAAATGCTGTTTGTAAAATTCTGATTTTGAAACTCAGAATTCTGACTTTCAAACTCAGAATTATGTTTCTTATTTTTTTTAGCATTGCCCCAGGGCTCTTCCATACGTATGGGTAAAGGAAATGTTTGTTTTTTTTTCTGCTGCAAAGGAACAATAATTCCAATTTTGTAGCACAAATTAGCTGGCATTTGCAGTTCTCACCTCAGACACATATTCTTCAACACTATGAGGCTAATTTGATGTGCACATGTGCTTTTTATCAATCCTGATCACATTATCCATACCACCAACTTTCTCATTTGTTTCTTCATAGTGAGGACTCCATTGAGCAGTGCAAAGATGTGACACTCACTGGCTTCACTGAACAGGTGTTAAAGTAAGTGATGCAGTCTTTGAGTTATTACACTTATGCTAATGAGGCCATTACTAAGTTAGTTTTATTCTGTTAGGTATGTTTCAGAGAGGGGCACTGACCGACTGCTGGATCACGTTGAGAAGGTAAATGAAAGATTCAAGGTTCCAGAAGACCCAGACAAGGTCAAAAGTAGTCAAGCATCATCTCGTGGCTTACTCACTACAATTCCAAAACAGAGGTAAGCGTTCTGCAATCACTGTCCACCGGCTGGCCAAATTAGATGAGCATTATTGTTGTCACAAAATTACCAGTACTTTACCAGTATTTTGTACAGTCATAGTCAATGGTGGGAGAACACTAGTAGTAAAATCTTGTACATTACATACCGGTAAGTCTTATTAATTGCTTATGCTTGTGCTCTTCATGAAATGTTAAATGACCTAATTGGCGTTCTGTCTATTCATTTCAGGTGGCGCAGTGTCCGCGTCTTCATTTCCTCCACATTCCGTGACATGCACTCAGAAAGAGATATCTTGATAGGACAGGTGATGCCACAACTACGTCTTCGTGCTGCTTCTCACTTCCTGTCCTTGGAGGAAGTTGATCTGCGCTGGGGAATTACAGAGGAGGAAGCTAAGAAAGACAGGTTAGATCACTAAAAAATGAAGGCAAAGACAGTATAAAATATAATGTTAGTAAATTGAACATTGAATTCTCTGATTTAATCGGTTATGTATTAATATAGGCAGCTGTCTCTGTGCCTTTCTGAAGTTGTTCGGAGTCAGATCTTTATTGGGATCCTAGGAGAGAGATATGGACATACTCCAAAAACATATTCAGTGCCCCACCTTCCTGAGTATGAATGGGTAAGAAGATATATTGTATCTATAAAAACACATTGCATTGTAAATATAACGTGTTACATGAAAAGACAGGTGTTCCATCCATGTTGCTGTTTAAGATTAAGGAATGTTGACAGAAGGAAAGGGCTGAGATTCAGGGCACTTTTACACCATATCGTTGCATTATTGCATGATACCGTGCGATTAACTTGCGATTTCGCGCAGCACACATAGTGTGTGTTACTGTGCGGTAGGTGTACTGCGTTGCCATTCATTTGATGGGCACCCCAAAGCACCATCCAGCGGCTGTGTGTTGCAGTGCAGTGAAATGCACAGTAAAGCAATACTGTGCGTGGCATTGCGGTTCAGTGCAGAAAAAAGTAGTGGATGCACATGCTGTAGTGTAAACCGGCCCTCATTTATTTTTTTTATTCATTTTTAAAATCCCAAAATACAGTCTTTGCTACCAGTTCAGCTTAATGCCTCATTACTATGATGTGCCTGTCGACTTTTTTTCCTGTAGCAGCCAGTTCTGCTCTGGCAGTTTAATGTATTTTTAACCACGCCAGTACCGGCCTGTTGGTTCATTTATAAATCATAGCAAATTTATAAATCATAGCAAATAAAAATGTCAGGACAGTAGGAAAATCCCAGAAATTACATATTTTTGGAAAGCACACTTCAAGGTCCTCCTGATTTTTTTTTTTGCCGCAATCTTTTGGAGATCAAGAAACAAGCTGGTATGTACAGGTCACATACAGTGGGAGGATGGCGATGAAGGGATTAATGTACAGATGTGCAGGATAAGGGATATGAAGGGGTTCATACACACATAAGAGTAGAGATAGAATGGAGCTGAGATACAGTATACAGGGGAAGAGGGAGGGTGAAAGGGTTAAAAATGTTATTTTACGTACTCATCCATTCATTACTTCCTTTACTCTCCTCTGCCTCTAATGTAAGAGAAAGGCAAGGGCTTGACAATGTAAACATTGCCACGTGATCGCTGTGTTAACCAATCACAGCGATCAGAGAACAAAGAACCGGTCTGATCGGCTCTGTGTCTAAAGCTGCTGTTCTCCGCTGTCTAATGACAGCGAGAGCAGCAGCAGCCACAGCCACACGCACATATGCGTTCATGGGAGGATGTTCAAGTACGACCTCTTCCTGGAATAATGCATTAGGGGAATGGCCTTTTTAATACAGTGGCCGGTCTTCAAGCAGTTAATGCTATAAATCAGAGGTAGGCAACATCGGCACTCCAGCTGTTGTGGAATTACAAGTCCCATGAGTCAGTGTAAGACTTTGACATCCACAGGCATGATGGGATTTATAGATTCACCAGAGCTGAAGTGCTGAGGTTGCCTAACCCTGCAGTAAAGGAAGCATATGTAATAAATGTATCAGGCCAAAACAGTGATATGCTGTAATGTGGGTAATGCCACTTGTACTAGTGATCTAAAAAATGTCACAAATGGGCTTACCCAGGTCATTCATTTTTCATTACTGTCCAGTAAAAGTAATCACTTTGATGCTGTTCTGTTTCTATAAATATCTTGTAATTATTATATCTTCTCAGATCCATACATACCCAGCTGGGCGATCCATCACTGAGTTGGAGGCCATGCAGTTTTTGCAGGGTTGTGGCACCAAAAAACATGGACACCCAAAGGCCTTCTTCTACTTCAGGAATCCAGATGTTCTTGGGTAAACGATACAGCAGTAAAGCAGTGGCTGAGGGGACTTACATCAGTGTTCTGGCAGTCTGTACTGTGTGTTGTCTGTGAATTGATGGAAGACACATAGACGTGTAAAATAGTGTCTTGCCTTTCATTAAAATACAGTCTCCACTCCTCTTTGCCATGAAGCAAAAGGGTTTCTCGGAAGAATGCCATGCTATAGAGATGGAAGATCATATCATTAGTCTTTGCACAGGAACATCCTGAATTTCATAGGGGCCATAGCAATAAAAAGATTTGGGTACAGGGCTTTTGGTGACTATATATCTATTGCAGTTGCTGTCCAGCAGGATAAGATACCCTCCGAGCCAGCTTTCTTTTTATAAGCTTTACTTGAAGTTGTTTCCCCATACCTGTTCTTGCTGTTACCTTGTTTACTGTTCATTCTAGCATACTCAGTACTCTGTTCTTGTCATTTAGGTCTGTGCCTAGTCATTGGCTCCCAGACTTCGCTGCAGAATCTCCAGAAGCTGCCAAGCGTGTGAAGGACCTTAAGAGCAGAGTAGCTAAACACCCAGCTACCAGGAGCTGCTTGTAAGTTTTCATGTTAGGCGATGAATGCAGATTAAAATGCACAGGCTGCATTAACTTACTGTTATCTTGGTGTCTCTTAGATACTCTTGCCAGTGGGGAGATGAACAGAATGAGAAACCACATTTAATTGCATTAGAAGATTTTGCAGCTAAAATTCTAGAAGATATTTGGCAAGTAATTGAGAGAGACTTTATTGAGGTATGTAAACAGCTGTAACCGAGGACAAAAGTCATGAAATATACAGAACATACATGTAAATGGAATGCATTCAAATTACAAATACTTAAATTCCGAATTGGCACGCTTATATGATTACTCATAACTCCACATTTCCAATGACCTAATATTTACATGTTGACATTTAGAAAGAACAATCTTGAACATCACACTGTTGCTGAATGAATGTGCTGTATGTCTGACTCAATCCTGGACATCACACTGTTGCTGAATGAATGTGCTGTATGTCTGACTCAATCCTGGACATCACACTGTTGCTGAATGAATGTACTGTATGTCTGACTCAATCCTGGACATCACACTGTTGCTGAATGAATGTACTGTATGTCTGACTCAATCCTGGACATCACACTGTTGCTGAATGAATTTACTGTATGTCTGACTTAATCCTGGACTTCACACTGTTGCTGAATGAATGTGCTGTATGTCTGAATCAATCCTGGACATCACACTGTTGCTGAATGAATGTGCTGTATGTCTGACTCAATGCTGGACATCACACTGTTGGTGAATGAATGTACTGTATGTCTGATTCAATCCTGGACATCACACTGTTGCTGAATGAATGTGCTGTATGTCTGATTCAATCCTGGACATCACACTGTTGCTGAATGAATGTACTGCATGTCTGACTCAATCTTGGACATTGTAATTGTATGTGTCTTGACACAGATCAATGCAAAGGACTGGCACTTTAATAAAGACCTGAGCAATTTTGTTCTTTATGTCATGTAAACCGTTATGTACAACAAAATTCAAGCAGTTAAATTTACTGCTGATAGCCAAATATGAAAAACACTGGGTGCTCTGTATGCAAACTTCGCCTGCTCTTAAATATAGTCATTTAAACCCAGATTCCTCATTTTGCATACCTGAAATGATGCCATTGGACCACAGGACATTGTGAGATTAACAGTTCATCCCACTGACAATAAGACAGTATATGGCACCTTTAGCTCCTCATATAAAGTGAGCCAATATGACTTGTAAATAGTTGTATATGATGCTTTTAGTATTTTCTACCATTTCCCTTGTGAACCATCCATAATATTCTTTTTATTCTTCTTTTGGTGCTTTTAAAAGGAGTCAAAAGCATCTGAAGATGAAGATCAGCTTGCACAGGAGGGCTTCCAGGAGTGGCATGGGCAACATTCCTTTGCTAGAAGCAAGTTAGTGACAAATGTGTGTGCACAGATCCAGGAGAAGAGACGTGCATCCTCAACAAATGGACAGTTGTTTCTGGTGGTTGGGGAGCCCAGTCAGGGGAAGACTGTCTTTGTGGTATGTTTATTCCAATGGTAAAAATCACACATTATTGTATACTGTATATTTAGGTGTAGTGAGCTTGTATCACATTTCTATAAATCCTTTCAAATTACTAAGGCACATCTATACTGGGTGTCATTCTGGTTATATAAAGCATGTTCTTATACTTGCCCCTTGTGCTTGTCTTAGCAGGGCTGAATTACGTAACTGCTGGACATCAATTACATTAAATACTTTTTTTTTTTTTAAATGTAAAACTCAATTTTGGTCGAGCAATACATTTATCAGCATCAATTTGTTGCACTATTGACAAGACATTATACTCCCTGTAAACATACTACTACAGTAATGTTGCATTTATAGTCTGTATCACAGTCATCAATTCCTTAATATCTCTGGCAGGCTGACCTTGTGAAGGAACTGAGACTAGCAGCTTCATCCTCGGTGATCTATCATTTTACGGAGGCCACCACAATGGCAAAAGAAGCAGAGACTATGTTAAACAGTGTCTGCAAGCAAATGAATCAGAGACTGCAGAGAAGGAACTGTAGCCTTACATCTTACAGGTTTGTGTGTCCCTTTACGTTAGATTGTCTCTAAATTACTCATTTGATAGCAGACTTGCAAGGTTGTATGTCCACTTAAAACATGCATAGCTATTCAATCTGCCCAAGTTGTAATTTTTATTATAGGTATTAGTGTCAACAATTTACATAGCGCTTTATGTACATAGTGCACATTCACATCAGTCCTTGCCCTCAATGAGCTTACAATCTAAGGTCCTTATCTCACATGCATACAGTGTCAATTTAGACGGGAGCCAATTAACCTTCCAGCATGTCTTTGGAGTGTGGAAGGAAACCGGAGTACCCGGACAAAACCCACACAAGCACAGGGAGAACAATTTTTTTTTTTTGCCACAGCAGTAATGTGCAGTTTATTTTTATAAATTGAAAACAGTAAAACAACAGGTAATGAAAAAGGCTTATATGAAACAATGTCTTTACACAGGGCACTTCTTGCTGAGTTCCAAGCTCTCCTTCAGTTAATATCGCGCTCACTGAAGCGGAGTGACGCATTGACATTATTAATAGATGGGGCCGATATGCTGTGTGGACACGCAGGTGAACTAACATCTGATTGGATCCCTGACTTCCTTCCCCAGGTATGCAATTTCTTCTTACTCCTATTATTAATTAAATAATGTATTCCACACTATCCAAATGCAAGTCTCCAGTAGTACATAAATAGGAGCCACACAAGAAAGCATAGTCCGCTATGCTGTGTAGTGAGTGGAATAACAATATATTAGAATAGTTAAACTAGATAAAATCACTATGTATACTTGGAACCTATTCCAGGCTACTACTAAAGAAGAACTCCAGGAATTAACAAAATTAAACCTTGCAGTGGGGCTACCCCCACACTGCAAGGGTTAACTTCTCATTTTAGTCTAGGGGCTGGATTAAATAAATACTTACCCGATCTTCGATCCCACCTAGTGGTTAGACCGGTCCCTACAGCTTCTTCTACCCTGTGCTCTGGCAATCTAAGGACCCGCTGATGTCATCACATGTAATGCAGATCCATTCACCTGCATTAGACGTGAGGATGCCAAGGGAAATACAACAGCTGAAGCAAAGTGGGAGAGAGGTGAGCGCTGACTGCCACAGAACCAAGCATCAGGTGAGTATATCTTTTGTATTCCTGCCCCTAGACCAAAATGAGCAGTTAACTCGGGGGTAGGTCGACTGCAAGGGTTAATTCTGTTAATCGATGATGTGCAGCAGTGTTAATGAGTTTGAACAGCAGACGCCTCACTTGTGGATGGTTGTAAGAAAAGAAAATAGAACGGCGCCTTCTCCTCGTGAAAAACTGTTTTATTTATCCATATAAAACGGAATAAAATTATACTCACAAGTGGTGTCTGTTAAATAAGCTTTCAGAACAACCATCCGGATTGATGAACAAAGATCGGCATTGGGCTGGACTACCAGACCACCAAAATGTGAACCAGAGCAATACTCTTGCTGACGCTTTTCAAGGGATATACCCTTTTCATCAGATAGCAAGTGCTCTGATGAAGAGGGTATATCCCTTGAAACACGCCAGCAAGAGTATTGCTCTGGTTCACATTTTGTTGGTCTGGCAGTCCAGCCTGAGGCTTCCCAACCTGTCACAGAACAGCAGCCCCCTCTGTGCCATTATATTTATGTCCGTTTCTGAGTATTCCCTTCATATGATGATGTGAGACCTCCATCAAGCGTTAACATATTTGAAGATATTGCAAGGTTGTAAAATAATTTTTCCCTAAAAGCACAGTCAGGGTCCCATCTCTATGCATGGGCTACATTGATATGCCAGCCAGAACGGGGATATAAGTTGCAGCTGGTTCCATCATTGCCACAAGCCAGATAGGCACTGGCAGATTCAGATCTGTCATAATCTATTCTCAGTGATACATATGGCAGTCTGTAGAACTAGCAGGTGTAGGGCTGGTAAGACTTTGATATCTAGCATTTTTTTAAATACTGAATTTCTAGCATGATGTAAACTTTTTTTCTCATTTAGGTTTATAATGACAATTCATTTTACATATGTAAAGAACATGTGACAGATCTGAGAATATCAAACATGTCTGCTTTTTGTCAGTTTTATCTGTTATTTCTTGTAACATACCATTGTTATAAAGACGGTTTCTTGCCTTTTTCTATCTGCAGAGAGTGAACTTAGTTCTGAGTGTGACAGAAGGCTCCTCTCTCTGCTCTTCCTTGAGGAAGCGAAAGGACACCGTTGTGATCTCTCTAGGGAGGCTGGAACCAAATGAGCGAGCTGAACTGGTGAGAGGGAAGCTGGCTTTGTATGGGAAAAAGCTGGAAGAGTCTGCTTTTAATAATCAGGTATGATGACCGTATTTATGTACTGAGCATTACATATTTATGTATTGTAACCTAATGCAGATTATGTCCCCATCTCCATATATAAAATCGTATGGTTGGACAATATCTGCTGAGTTCTGCTGTGTCTCATACACAGAACCATCAGATATTAGACTTTGTATGTAATGTCTATAGCGTCTGAGGGCATTGAGCACAGATAGAGAAAACTCAGTTCTGCCAGACTGCTAAACTTATCATTTATTCAGTGTAGGTTGGGTCTGCAAAACCAAATAGATCATTTTGAAAGAAAAGCTGATGTGTCCACCATATGAAAATATAAGGTTGTAACGAGCCCCTGCTCGCTCGGTTCCACTCTCCCGGAACTCCTCAGATTTCAGACCGCAACGTCTGATTCTTCGGTCGTCCGATGCTCCGGGATTCGAACTACAGCTATGTGCCGTTCGAATACAGTTGTGATAGCTCAGAACAAACACCAGGCAGGCTGTATGTAAGTTCAAACAGGAATCTGCATTATTGGATGCACACACACACTTTTATACACAACAGTTTGAACACCCCACCCAAACCAACACCTTACTATTGGTCATGCAAATGAAGACTTGAAACAGAGTCAGCAGGGATTAGTCCGATAGCTTCAATGGGAGGGCTGATATGTGTGGCCATGCAAATGAAGACTTGAAACGGTGTCAGCAGGGAATAGTCAGATAGCTTGAATGGGAGGGCTGATATGTGTGGCCATGCAAATGAAGACTTGAAACAGGGTCAGCAGGCATTGGTCCGATAGCTTGAATGGGAGGGCTGATATGTATAATGACACAGAGACGTCCCAGGAGATAATTACAAACAGTCAAACACAGAGTGATTCAAACATAAGACAGGGCGGAGGACCCACCACTGTGTAATAGAATCAATGAACAATGGTTCAGTATTCCAAGGACCATGACAATGGTGAAGGCCATTTTTTGTGCGTCCCTTTGAAATTACCAATAATCCACAGAATGGGTCAGTCAGCTGACTCTTATGAAACAAAGTTTTCCTTGTGCAAGCATTTAAACATAAGGAAAGTATGTTAAAAACAAGGGATGCACCAATACCGATACTAGTATTGGTATCGGTGCCGATACCATGTATTTGGGCGATGGATTATGACATGCCACCCGGCTCCCTGATTGGCTAGGAAGCCAGCTTCACTTGTTAGGCTGCCTGACTTTCTAACCAAACCAGGAAGCCGGTCATGACGTGCTGCCAGGCATTCTGATAGGCCAGGCTGCCTACCAACAAGTGAAGCCGGCTTTGTAGCCAATCAGGAAGCCGGACGGCACCTTATGACGCGCTGCCTGGCTTCCTGATTGGTCAGCTCTGGCATATGGAGCCGGTGTTCTTTCGCTAGAACACCAGCTTCACAGGCAATCAGAAAGCCGGGCGAAGGGTCATGATCCTGATAATTGGGGCACACGGCACCAGTACTCGGTATCCGGAAGTACCAAAAAAAAAATATTGGTACTCGTACTCTACCGAAAAACCAGTACTGGTGTATCTCTATTAAAAACCATTGGGCCTGGCTCCTGCAGACTCTTCCTCCTGTCCATGTCTGGTACGGACATTCAGTAACATTTATGGGAGGAATATGAGTGAACTTCAAGTGTTTGTGTCAAGTGTATTGCCCAGTAATTAGACAATGTATGCACCTCTATTCATCCAGTTGCGACTTCTGATGATCAAGAAGGGAACACGTGATCCTCTGTATCTAACCATGGCTTGTGAAGAATTACGAACCAGTGCTGTCTTTGAGAAGGTTGGTAAGCTCTCTCCTTTCTCCATAATCATGTATTTCCTCTTGCCACTCTTTTTACTTACTTTCACCAATGTGCTTCCCCATTTCAACTGCCTCAGCATTACATCCATTCTGAATACTGATATGTATTGCTATGCTATGGATAATTTTGTGATGGGTGGTACCTTCAGAAGCCAAGACATGATTTGTGTTTATATTTGAGGACGATTATCCAAGTAGAATTTTACACAAATGCCTAATTGCAGTTGACAAGCAGTCATTTAGGCTCCCATGTGCCTCCATTCTGCCAGCAGATAGTATTTGATTATTACGGTAAAATGGTATTTAAAAAAATGGAGGACCATGGTTTAATTTACTGGCCCCTGTTTTTTTTCTAGCATATTCCTGTGCAGCAATGAGATGTTAACATTCACCATATGATTTTATTTTCTTGCATAGCTGTCTGATGATATACAGAAGTTGCCAGCAACCCTTCCACCTCTAATTCAGAAGAGACTGGAAATGCTGGAAGAGGAACATGGAGTGAACAATGTGGGCATTGCTCTGATAGCCATTTGCATCTCCCGAAAAGGTAATATAATGGCTGTTGTACTATTAGCTAGTATCTTATTTTATTATTTTTTTGTCATAAATTAACTTTGTTCACCTGTGTTTTATTTCAGGGCTATGGGAGAGAGACCTGCTAAGGATTCTTAGCTCTCTGCAGGAAATAAGCTCTGTGTACACAGCAAGTTGGGATGAAATGCTGCCTGCAGCCATTCATTCAAATAATCTTCCTATGGCCACATTCTCTTTGCTTCTCACAGGGCTGAAGAGGTGGGGAGACTACATCTTCTTCTTCTGTCCTTGTTATTACCAACACAGAATCTTCAAAGAATAAACATGTTACTTGGTCTTCTTTTATAATTGTGTGTTTGTTCTATTACAGCGTTCTTGGTCTGTGGAATCGTAACATGACTAGTGAGCCAAGGCTGCACCTCTCTAGTTGCCTGCTGCGGGAAGCTGTGGAGAAACGTTACTTTGGAAATCCTGATTTGGTCCGCGCTGTACATCTTCTTATGGCCGGTGAGAGATTTACACCATTCATTAATACATTAATGGTGTGTTTTCCAAATAAACCTCAATATTATGTGCTTTCTGTGTTCTTTCTTCCTTTTCAGCTCACTTCTGGGCAGTCTCTTCTCCTGAAGACCCTGAATCTTCCTCTGCACTTCACGCTGAGTGTCTGAGTGAGCTGTCCCATCATCTGGTATGCTAAAGTCTATTCAAACAAATACTGCTCTGATCCATGTTAATAAATATGGAAGTAAGTATATGTACTCTGTCTTTTTTTTAGCTGTTTGGTATGCAATTCCATACTCTGGGTAAGCTGCTCGCTCACATTCCTTTCCTGAAGGCACATGCCACCCTAGGGCTCTTGCCTCACCTGTGCCAGGTTTACAGTAGCTATGGTAAGTTCCTTTTATAAAGAACTTTTCATTCACTAAATATATCCTCATTGTTTTTGGAGAACTGGCACTGCAACGCCAGGCTACATGCAAGAATATTTTTCTTATCAAGCCTTTGCTGCAGTTATGTGTTTCTTAATTTTACCAAAACCCTATTAGTGCACCTGTTCATGGTCCTGTTACACAGAATTACACAGAACTAAAAATGAGTGCATAAGCTGGTTACCAGTGGGTAGTAAAGCAGTTGACTAATATACTGTATGTCCACAGCAAGGCATACAGTGAAAGCAGATTCATTCCTTTGGTGCAAGGTACAAGATTCATGGAGGAGGAATACAACAATAGCATCTTTCACAATTTTTATTGATAATATATATTAAATGATAATGTACTGTAACTGCAGTTGCTGCCTTCTCAATTTGAAAATGTTGGTTGCCTGGCTGTTATACTGATTTGTTGCTGTCAGCCCTTTCTGAGTCATAAACCTTGAAAATGTGTGCAATTAGCAGTGCTTAAGAAGTTATGGACACCTGCACTCCAAAGTAGAATAACGTCTTTTATTGACGTGCCATGCAACAATACACTTATTGCAACGTTTCGGGGTCACACAGGATCCCCTTCATCAGGCAGAACACTTGTTACGTTGCATGACACGTCAATAAAAGACGTTATTCTACCTTGGAGTGCGGGTGTCCATAACTTCTTATACTCTGCTCAGACCGTGGCCATCCGTCGACTACTGATGCACCCAGTGATATTACCCTACAGTACATGATCTCCGATCTGTTCCCTGTGTCCTTCAATGAACGGAGAGAAAAGGATTTTACGGTGAGTACCAAAATCCTATTATCAAGGATTTAGCGGTAAGGGGTGCAATGGGTACACTGACTAGTACCAATTAGCAGTGCTGAAGTCACCAGGGGCATCCCTAAAATTAAATTACATAAGCAGTCACTCTAGAAATCAGCAAACTAATTTTTGTATGCCTTTTAACACATAGCGGTCTATTTATAAATCTTCCGCCCATCCATCTGCTGGGAAAATGCTGTTCACACAGCATTCCCACTACTTTTTAACAATTTTATTTTTCTCAAATAGTGTTATCTTAGTTTTATAAAAACCAGCAAAAGTGTGCCCCTTCCAGAACGGGTACGCTTGTGAAGCGGAGAAGACTGTAGTGTGCAGACGAAGGGGGATGGAGGCAGCAAATGTTTTCTCAATATATCTACGCTGCTATTTCACTCCTATCCTATCCGGTGTATAAATACACCGCACGTATCTAAAAATCCCCAATCACACTGCACTAGTAAAATCATCAATAAATCTAATGCATAAAAAGGTGTAAACAAACAAAATCTAAAACAATATAAAGTGTCCTTTTTTAAATACGGCAAATTAGCCTATTAAAGTGCTTCCCAATAGTGCAAATATAAACAGTCTAAAGTGCTTCTTATAACTCCAAAAAACCACGCGTGCGTTCTTGTGTGAGACGTTTTAGAATCTGTTTGCAAAGAAACTCTTGGCTTTTATGTGCACTGCCCCCACTCGCCAGATTTGATGGACCAATAAATATTGGTCAGGAAGCGCTTGTAACAAGTTCCCAATCTCAATCAAAGCTCATAGAAATCTCCTCTCCTCCAATTAATATTCAGATTTGGTATATCCATGGTAATGTTCAGATAGCATTAATGGCAGATCTCCAATATCAATCACGGTTCACAGATATCTCTTCTCCTCCCATTGCCGTTAGTACTCGGAGAAAGAAATAAAATATCACATTGTGTAAATTCCTTAGGCAAATTCTATGAAAAAACGGTCATAAAAACTTAAAATCATCTTTCAGGTCCCAAACGTTTTTCAAATATTGCATTCAGCCCGCTTGATTACTGTCCTCTTTCCCGTCCCCTCTCTTCCTCTCTGGGCAAGGCAGCAAGAGACAGATGCAGCTAAGCATTTTGTCATCAAAAGACTTTCTCAAATGCTCTCTTGAGAAATTATTTTGAGGATGAAACGCGTTGAGTGGGCCGATACATGCTGCTATCATGCTAGCTGAGTTATCGGTGTTTTGACAAGCTGCCTCTGTCTCCTGCTGCCTTGTCCAGAGAGGAAGCGAGGGGACGGGACAGAGGACGGATGAAAAGTGGAATAAATGGGATGAACTGCAGTAAAGATCCTGGCTCTCAGCAGTAGGAGGTAAGCCCGAGACCAGTGCACACTGCAGCATGTGTGCATTGGAAGGAAACGCTGGCAATCCATTGAGAAGCTGCCATCACTGTGCTGCCTCTGCTGATACCCCTGGTGGTATACAATGGGCCAGGCCCAGTGTTATCTCTTTCTGATGTGCTGCAGGGGGGCCCATTTTTGCTACTGATGGTTTTATGTCCCTTCTGTTTTACCACTGGGGGAACAGAAACAGAGGTACATGTAACACTGTGCCTCAGTTTCCATTCCCCTAGTGGCAAAACGGAAGTGATACCTAATTATTATTTAATGAGAAGTGAACTCCTAACTCAAAGAAAGGGCCTGATAATGTTATTACTATTAATGGTTAAGAAGTACTTCTTAAAGTGCACAGTAGTAAAGATTTGCCATTAACCCTTTGTCTTGGCATTTTACATTCAAGAAACGGCCATGTCAAAGATGACTTCAACACTCTCAGCTGCTCGGGATGAGATGGAAACTACTGAACTATCTGGACCACCTGTGAGGGAATTCAAGGAGTTCATTGAGCGATCCTTGCATATTCTTACTCAGAATCCTTCACTATTTTATCAGTTGGCTTTGAACGAACCTGATACATCACTAGTGTGCATTCAGGTCCAAGAGATTTTGGCTGACTTCAAGAGCGCCACATCTGAGCTCATCACAGCATGGAACAATAAACCCAACTCCACCAGTGTCTGTTCCAGGTCAGACAAATGTGTATTATTCATTTAGTGATCAGTTAAATAGGCTGATGTCTGTGCAGCATTTATATAAACACATACCAGCAGGGCAATTTATAATGTGTACAAGTTAACCAACTTGTGTTTGTCTGCTGCTTGAGCTGCAGCAACCAGTGGAAGCCCACTTAAAGTGACACTAAATTTAGAAGTCAAATCTTAAAAATGCATTCAAGTACACTATTAACAAAATGTATCTTATTTGTGTATCACTCAGCTGTAGATCCTCAAATCATCTCTGAATTGGTGCTGACACTGTCCTTCCTTCTGGAGGGTGGCTACTTTTGTTCCTCATGGTCTCTGTGTGTATTGTAAAGTAGTCACCGCTCCAAGCTCGCTCATGTGATCGACTACAATGTCAATACAAATTAGTAAACTAAACATGAGATTGCAGTCTATCAGAGGAGCGAGTTTGGAGCGGTGACTACTTTATAACACACACGTGGACCATGGGGAACAAAAGTAGTCACCCTCCAGAAGGAAGGACAGTGTCAGCACTAATTGACAGATGATTTGAGGATCTACAGCCGAGTGATACACAAACAAGATACATTTTTGATAATAGGTAAGGTGCTTGAATGCATTTTTAAGATTTAACTCCTGAGTTTAGTGTCACTTTAAACACAGGGAGAACATACATAATCTGTACAATGCTGATAATGATAGATTAGATTTTTATTACATGCTGCTGGCTCTAAAGTATATAAGCGCCATAACATAATAATGTACACATGTACACACACAACACAACAGATTATGTACAGTATTACTCCTAGGAGCTTAGACCCTAGATCAGAACCTAAAAGAAAAATGCCTCAAGAGTATTTCCACTTTCTCAGCCAAATTGGGATAACATCTATTTTATATTTGTTGCATGTTTCCATTTACATAACATATGCTAAAAAAAATGCTTTTTCTACTTACTTTTTCTTAGATTTATTTTACTATGGTCAGGGTTTCTTGGCATCCTCAAGGGCTATATTTTCTACTTGCTTCTCCTTCTTTGTAATGTTAAGAGGGGCTGTGAGGGGTCAAATGATTTAAACTCTGCAACAAAACTAAAAGTTAAGAAATATGTTTTTTTTTTAATTATTATTTTTTGGTATACTGTGTGAATAGGAACACATAACAAATATATATAGAGGGGTTTTCTCAAGTTTGACTGCAAAAGTAGAAATACACATTAAGCTTTATGTTTTATTCATTTTAAGTCACAGTTGTCTTCTCTTTTACAGTAAATCGCTGCATGTTCCTTCTGCTCCAGGTTGTGTTGGCCTGAACACCAGAGGAGACATGGCAGTGCTGGGCACCAGTAATGGTTCACTTCACATACTGCAAACAAATAGTGGCGAGGTAATGGCTTTTGTCATTTTCTACATCTATATTCCCAATAAAAGAGAGTAGTCCTACAATGCTTAATATAAAAAATATAACATGAGATGGATTCTCTACTATGTATAACTTTAAATCATGCCTCTTAATCCGATCATCATCTTCTTTAGTGTAGTTTTCAGCTGTCCCTCCTGCGCTGGTGCCGGTCTCTAATCCAGCGCTGACTCCTCTGTCCTCCTTTCCACTGAAGTCTCATGGAGTCTGTGCCGGTGCACGCTGCTCTATATACTTACCTTGTGTCTCTCCTCGTCTCCCGGCCGAACATCTGAACTGCGCATGCGCCCGCCCCAAAATCCTTTGCGGCCGCCCGAGACTCTTCAGAGCTTTGAATGGGAGCGCGCGGCGGAGACACTGGAAAGTTTAAACCTGTTTGAAAAGTTTTTTAGTTTTTGCATATATCTACTGCTTGCTCGCAGTAGATATACGCAAAAAAAGCTGAGGGTTTAATAACCATCTAAATAAAAAGGAAGTATAGTTATAGAAAAAATATGATGCATGTACATCAATGATGTAGCGCCTGAACAGTCCCAATTAATAAACGGTTCACTAGAGAATTAAAAGTAGCTACACAAACCTAAAATCCTATATATTAATGTTAGAGGTGTGCAAGTGCATGTAATGCAATAGTCTTCATTCATAGTTCAAAGGTCGAATGTATGTCTAGCGATTAACAATTGCCTCAAATTTGTCTTTGTAAAGAACACTGGATGTTGGGAAACCTAATAAGTTAATAACAAATTTACAATGCAAAAATGCAAATCTACATTAATTACTTGTAATTGACATACTATTTTAAAGTGGACCTTTCCCCATATCTTTACAATAACAACAAACACACCTTTAGAAATATTTCTTACTGACATTCTACAAACACATACTTCTAGATAATTGCAGGCTTTGTATTCTTTGCATACCTTATTTCTCTTTTCTTCCCCAGCCTTCTGTCAGTGGCCATGTTAACTTGGGGCAGGTTACTAGATCTCCCTTTACTTCCTGGAACTCTGGCATATGTGACCTAGGACATGTGACCATGCACTTCATCTCAAGGGAGGAAAATGCCTTTCCCTGGGATCTCATGAGATTACAGATGAGATTTCCCAGCAATGCTCTGCTGATGTAACCTTCCCAGGATGCAACGCTTGGGCACAGGCTACGTCACTTTTGCCAAAGACAACCAGGAAGTAGAAAACAAGAAATTGTAAGTAAAATAAAAATATGTTTCTTTAGCTGATGAATGTAAGATGGTTTCATATCAGTATGCAGAGCTGTATACTGATGTGATTTTTAATCAGAGGTTAAAGGTCCGCTTTAACACTTATATGTGCGTATGGGACCAGGAAACGTCCATTAATTCTCGTGAGCATTTCCTTATAATTAGAAGGTTGGTTCGGGTATTTCTATGTTTGTGTACATGGTTCTGCAAGATGCCTTTTGTAGAAAGTATTTCCCCAGTCATCTTCCAGGACAGCCAATGAGATAAGGCTCCGCCTGCCTGCAACAGGAAACACATCAACCACATTAGATAAAAAGACCCCTCCTTCTATCCCAATTCAGTTTTTTTGTGTTTCCTCCGGCTACACAGGGACATCGTAATGTTTGTTGTTTTCAGGGCTCATTTTCTATTTGCCTCAGGGCAGAGCCTAACCCTGATATGTGTTGGGACCTACTCCAGGTTTTTCCTGCCGCAGCACATACAGGGATCCCTTATCGGACCCCCGTCCGAGAAAGGCCAAGGTTCCCCTCCGTCATTCAAGGAGGGCAACCATCCTCCTGTGCGTGTGTGGCTCCAGACGGGGACCCCCCCCAGGTGTGCAGTAGTGGCAAAGGATCCTGAGCGGCGACTGGTGTAGCCCTGTGTTTTGGGGGGTATGGCCACCTTCTGCTAAGAGGAATGCAGTATGGAGGTAAAGGATGGGAACCAGGGAAAGTGCTGGCACTTACCAGGAGGGCGCTGTTCTCAGCCCAGTATTTTCTTTACATCAACTACTGCCTCTTTATGTTTTGTTACAGGAAGTCAGAACACTGTACAGTGGCTGTGACGGGATATCTACCTGTACATTTATTTCTGACACATTACTCTGTGTTGGCTCCTACGATGGAATAATGGAGATCTGGAATATAACAGACGGATGTCGGTAAGAGACATTTATATAAGATCTTGAGCCTCCTTTTTCTGTTACGGCCCATTCTACAAGGGCTGTTGGGGCATCTTGGGCTTTCCGTCATGGTGCCTCCGTTTCTCAGGTTTGTAAGGCCGCGACTTGGTCTTCTGTTCACACCTTTGCCAAGTTTTATAAGGTGGATGTTTTGGCATCTGCGGATGCTGGTTTGGGGCGCAAAGTGTTGCAGGCGGCCGTTTGAGGGGATTTTTTTGTTTAGTTGGGTTTGTTGTTTCTGTTGACCCACCCCTCTTTTTTGGTACTGCTCTGTGACGTCCCTACAGTACATGATCTACGATCTGTTCTCTGTGTCCTTCAATGAACGGGAGAGAAAATAGGATTTTGGTACTCACCGTAAAATCCTTTTCTCTCCGTTCATTGAAGGACACAGGGCCCGCCCCTCTATGTGGGTGTGTACTCCTTTACTGCTTGTTACTAAACTGGAGACTTCTCAGTAGGTGGGGGGTTTGGCCACCGGCAGGGGCCGCCCCTAGGCTGTAATTGGTCTTTAGTTTTTTTGTGCCTAGCGTCCTTCTCCTGCAGGTGGCGATATTACCCTACAGTACATGATCTCCGATCTGTTCCCTGTGTCCTTCAATGAACGGAGAGAAAAGGATTTTACGGTGAGTACCAAAATCCTATTATCAAGGATTTAGCGGTAAGGGGTGCAATGGGTACACTGACTAGTACCAATTAGCAGTGCTGAAGTCACCAGGGGCATCCCTAAAATTAAATTACATAAGCAGTCACTCTAGAAATCAGCAAACTAATTTTTGTATGCCTTTTAACACATAGCGGTCTATTTATAAATCTTCCGCCCATCCATCTGCTGGGAAAATGCTGTTCACACAGCATTCCCACTACTTTTTAACAATTTTATTTTTCTCAAATAGTGTTATCTTAGTTTTATAAAAACCAGCAAAAGTGTGCCCCTTCCAGAACGGGTACGCTTGTGAAGCGGAGAAGACTGTAGTGTGCAGACGAAGGGGGATGGAGGCAGCAAATGTTTTCTCAATATATCTACGCTGCTATTTCACTCCTATCCTATCCGGTGTATAAATACACCGCACGTATCTAAAAATCCCCAATCACACTGCACTAGTAAAATCATCAATAAATCTAATGCATAAAAAGGTGTAAACAAACAAAATCTAAAACAATATAAAGTGTCCTTTTTTAAATACGGCAAATTAGCCTATTAAAGTGCTTCCCAATAGTGCAAATATAAACAGTCTAAAGTGCTTCTTATAACTCCAAAAAACCACGCGTGCGTTCTTGTGTGAGACGTTTTAGAATCTGTTTGCAAAGAAACTCTTGGCTTTTATGTGCACTGCCCCCACTCGCCAGATTTGATGGACCAATAAATATTGGTCAGGAAGCGCTTGTAACAAGTTCCCAATCTCAATCAAAGCTCATAGAAATCTCCTCTCCTCCAATTAATATTCAGATTTGGTATATCCATGGTAATGTTCAGATAGCATTAATGGCAGATCTCCAATATCAATCACGGTTCACAGATATCTCTTCTCCTCCCATTGCCGTTAGTACTCGGAGAAAGAAATAAAATATCACATTGTGTAAATTCCTTAGGCAAATTCTATGAAAAAACGGTCATAAAAACTTAAAATCATCTTTCAGGTCCCAAACGTTTTTCAAATATTGCATTCAGCCCGCTTGATTACTGTCCTCTTTCCCGTCCCCTCTCTTCCTCTCTGGGCAAGGCAGCAAGAGACAGATGCAGCTAAGCATTTTGTCATCAAAAGACTTTCTCAAATGCTCTCTTGAGAAATTATTTTGAGGATGAAACGCGTTGAGTGGGCCGATACATGCTGCTATCATGCTAGCTGAGTTATCGGTGTTTTGACAAGCTGCCTCTGTCTCCTGCTGCCTTGTCCAGAGAGGAAGCGAGGGGACGGGACAGAGGACGGATGAAAAGTGGAATAAATGGGATGAACTGCAGTAAAGATCCTGGCTCTCAGCAGTAGGAGGTAAGCCCGAGACCAGTGCACACTGCAGCATGTGTGCATTGGAAGGAAACGCTGGCAATCCATTGAGAAGCTGCCATCACTGTGCTGCCTCTGCTGATACCCCTGGTGGTATACAATGGGCCAGGCCCAGTGTTATCTCTTTCTGATGTGCTGCAGGGGGGCCCATTTTTGCTACTGATGGTTTTATGTCCCTTCTGTTTTACCACTGGGGGAACAGAAACAGAGGTACATGTAACACTGTGCCTCAGTTTCCATTCCCCTAGTGGCAAAACGGAAGTGATACCTAATTATTATTTAATGAGAAGTGAACTCCTAACTCAAAGAAAGGGCCTGATAATGTTATTACTATTAATGGTTAAGAAGTACTTCTTAAAGTGCACAGTAGTAAAGATTTGCCATTAACCCTTTGTCTTGGCATTTTACATTCAAGAAACGGCCATGTCAAAGATGACTTCAACACTCTCAGCTGCTCGGGATGAGATGGAAACTACTGAACTATCTGGACCACCTGTGAGGGAATTCAAGGAGTTCATTGAGCGATCCTTGCATATTCTTACTCAGAATCCTTCACTATTTTATCAGTTGGCTTTGAACGAACCTGATACATCACTAGTGTGCATTCAGGTCCAAGAGATTTTGGCTGACTTCAAGAGCGCCACATCTGAGCTCATCACAGCATGGAACAATAAACCCAACTCCACCAGTGTCTGTTCCAGGTCAGACAAATGTGTATTATTCATTTAGTGATCAGTTAAATAGGCTGATGTCTGTGCAGCATTTATATAAACACATACCAGCAGGGCAATTTATAATGTGTACAAGTTAACCAACTTGTGTTTGTCTGCTGCTTGAGCTGCAGCAACCAGTGGAAGCCCACTTAAAGTGACACTAAATTTAGAAGTCAAATCTTAAAAATGCATTCAAGTACACTATTAACAAAATGTATCTTATTTGTGTATCACTCAGCTGTAGATCCTCAAATCATCTCTGAATTGGTGCTGACACTGTCCTTCCTTCTGGAGGGTGGCTACTTTTGTTCCTCATGGTCTCTGTGTGTATTGTAAAGTAGTCACCGCTCCAAGCTCGCTCATGTGATCGACTACAATGTCAATACAAATTAGTAAACTAAACATGAGATTGCAGTCTATCAGAGGAGCGAGTTTGGAGCGGTGACTACTTTATAACACACACGTGGACCATGGGGAACAAAAGTAGTCACCCTCCAGAAGGAAGGACAGTGTCAGCACTAATTGACAGATGATTTGAGGATCTACAGCCGAGTGATACACAAACAAGATACATTTTTGATAATAGGTAAGGTGCTTGAATGCATTTTTAAGATTTAACTCCTGAGTTTAGTGTCACTTTAAACACAGGGAGAACATACATAATCTGTACAATGCTGATAATGATAGATTAGATTTTTATTACATGCTGCTGGCTCTAAAGTATATAAGCGCCATAACATAATAATGTACACATGTACACACACAACACAACAGATTATGTACAGTATTACTCCTAGGAGCTTAGACCCTAGATCAGAACCTAAAAGAAAAATGCCTCAAGAGTATTTCCACTTTCTCAGCCAAATTGGGATAACATCTATTTTATATTTGTTGCATGTTTCCATTTACATAACATATGCTAAAAAAAATGCTTTTTCTACTTACTTTTTCTTAGATTTATTTTACTATGGTCAGGGTTTCTTGGCATCCTCAAGGGCTATATTTTCTACTTGCTTCTCCTTCTTTGTAATGTTAAGAGGGGCTGTGAGGGGTCAAATGATTTAAACTCTGCAACAAAACTAAAAGTTAAGAAATATGTTTTTTTTTTAATTATTATTTTTTGGTATACTGTGTGAATAGGAACACATAACAAATATATATAGAGGGGTTTTCTCAAGTTTGACTGCAAAAGTAGAAATACACATTAAGCTTTATGTTTTATTCATTTTAAGTCACAGTTGTCTTCTCTTTTACAGTAAATCGCTGCATGTTCCTTCTGCTCCAGGTTGTGTTGGCCTGAACACCAGAGGAGACATGGCAGTGCTGGGCACCAGTAATGGTTCACTTCACATACTGCAAACAAATAGTGGCGAGGTAATGGCTTTTGTCATTTTCTACATCTATATTCCCAATAAAAGAGAGTAGTCCTACAATGCTTAATATAAAAAATATAACATGAGATGGATTCTCTACTATGTATAACTTTAAATCATGCCTCTTAATCCGATCATCATCTTCTTTAGTGTAGTTTTCAGCTGTCCCTCCTGCGCTGGTGCCGGTCTCTAATCCAGCGCTGACTCCTCTGTCCTCCTTTCCACTGAAGTCTCATGGAGTCTGTGCCGGTGCACGCTGCTCTATATACTTACCTTGTGTCTCTCCTCGTCTCCCGGCCGAACATCTGAACTGCGCATGCGCCCGCCCCAAAATCCTTTGCGGCCGCCCGAGACTCTTCAGAGCTTTGAATGGGAGCGCGCGGCGGAGACACTGGAAAGTTTAAACCTGTTTGAAAAGTTTTTTAGTTTTTGCATATATCTACTGCTTGCTCGCAGTAGATATACGCAAAAAAAGCTGAGGGTTTAATAACCATCTAAATAAAAAGGAAGTATAGTTATAGAAAAAATATGATGCATGTACATCAATGATGTAGCGCCTGAACAGTCCCAATTAATAAACGGTTCACTAGAGAATTAAAAGTAGCTACACAAACCTAAAATCCTATATATTAATGTTAGAGGTGTGCAAGTGCATGTAATGCAATAGTCTTCATTCATAGTTCAAAGGTCGAATGTATGTCTAGCGATTAACAATTGCCTCAAATTTGTCTTTGTAAAGAACACTGGATGTTGGGAAACCTAATAAGTTAATAACAAATTTACAATGCAAAAATGCAAATCTACATTAATTACTTGTAATTGACATACTATTTTAAAGTGGACCTTTCCCCATATCTTTACAATAACAACAAACACACCTTTAGAAATATTTCTTACTGACATTCTACAAACACATACTTCTAGATAATTGCAGGCTTTGTATTCTTTGCATACCTTATTTCTCTTTTCTTCCCCAGCCTTCTGTCAGTGGCCATGTTAACTTGGGGCAGGTTACTAGATCTCCCTTTACTTCCTGGAACTCTGGCATATGTGACCTAGGACATGTGACCATGCACTTCATCTCAAGGGAGGAAAATGCCTTTCCCTGGGATCTCATGAGATTACAGATGAGATTTCCCAGCAATGCTCTGCTGATGTAACCTTCCCAGGATGCAACGCTTGGGCACAGGCTACGTCACTTTTGCCAAAGACAACCAGGAAGTAGAAAACAAGAAATTGTAAGTAAAATAAAAATATGTTTCTTTAGCTGATGAATGTAAGATGGTTTCATATCAGTATGCAGAGCTGTATACTGATGTGATTTTTAATCAGAGGTTAAAGGTCCGCTTTAACACTTATATGTGCGTATGGGACCAGGAAACGTCCATTAATTCTCGTGAGCATTTCCTTATAATTAGAAGGTTGGTTCGGGTATTTCTATGTTTGTGTACATGGTTCTGCAAGATGCCTTTTGTAGAAAGTATTTCCCCAGTCATCTTCCAGGACAGCCAATGAGATAAGGCTCCGCCTGCCTGCAACAGGAAACACATCAACCACATTAGATAAAAAGACCCCTCCTTCTATCCCAATTCAGTTTTTTTGTGTTTCCTCCGGCTACACAGGGACATCGTAATGTTTGTTGTTTTCAGGGCTCATTTTCTATTTGCCTCAGGGCAGAGCCTAACCCTGATATGTGTTGGGACCTACTCCAGGTTTTTCCTGCCGCAGCACATACAGGGATCCCTTATCGGACCCCCGTCCGAGAAAGGCCAAGGTTCCCCTCCGTCATTCAAGGAGGGCAACCATCCTCCTGTGCGTGTGTGGCTCCAGACGGGGACCCCCCCCAGGTGTGCAGTAGTGGCAAAGGATCCTGAGCGGCGACTGGTGTAGCCCTGTGTTTTGGGGGGTATGGCCACCTTCTGCTAAGAGGAATGCAGTATGGAGGTAAAGGATGGGAACCAGGGAAAGTGCTGGCACTTACCAGGAGGGCGCTGTTCTCAGCCCAGTATTTTCTTTACATCAACTACTGCCTCTTTATGTTTTGTTACAGGAAGTCAGAACACTGTACAGTGGCTGTGACGGGATATCTACCTGTACATTTATTTCTGACACATTACTCTGTGTTGGCTCCTACGATGGAATAATGGAGATCTGGAATATAACAGACGGATGTCGGTAAGAGACATTTATATAAGATCCTTTAGGACAGCTATAATGGTTTGTGGTGAATTGGATTTCCGATTTTTTTTAAATAAAGTTGATATGTTTTAAACTGTTCTTTTTATTATATATGCAATCTTTGTTAAAAACATTTAATACATGACAAATCATAAACATATTATGACATATGAAGCTGTATAGTTTAACGAAAGAGTGGCTCAGCAAAGCTGATAGCTTTGCAGCTCCCTTTTTCTGAATGAAACCTCCTGCTAAGTTGTGCAAAAACGCACGAGGCACTGCTGTGAAGATGGCTTTCTTTCAAGCTGAAAGCCTTACCTTCAGTCTTTGACATTTGTACAGACTCCTCTTTTGTACTGAAATTACTTACTCTGCTTTCATTCCAAGATGCGAGCTTCTCACAATGTTTATTAGAAGCTGCAGCAAGTTATATAGAGCCCTCCTTCTATTGTGGCTGAATGACATTCAGTATCCTCTAGTTCTTTCCTCCTCAGCTTTCTGTCCCCGGTCCTCCCATTTCATTCATTGGATTTCAGTCATTTCAAAAATGGAGGCTCAGTATTACTTATGGGCATTACCTGAGAGATTCTGGAGGAGATGCAGTCTGCCTTGGAACACCTACTCTTCCAGAATGGCACCCATCCTTTCAGACATTTGCACAACGCCTCCCAAGAGTCAGTCCACTGTTTGCATCGGGTCTGAGGGTTTTTGGGAGGAATACTGAGGCAGGGGGCTGTGAAGTTTTCAGGAAGCTATGTACAGCACCCTGTTGGCTCCTCCCACCAGCCATGATTTGGCTGCATTGCATTTAGAAGCACAGAGACCCAGCGATGAGATTACTGGATCTAAAATAAGCTGTGTAATGAAAAAAAGGTTTTGTTTGAAAATGTTATTAGCATGTTGATGAAGGGGAGGAGGGAAAAGTAAAATATAAGCAGATTAAACTAAGCATATCTCAAGGAGTGATACAATGCTTTTTGTGAAAGAGACTAGAGCGCCACCTGGTGGCTGCAGAGAATATTGCACAATATTTCTATGCAGTGTTTCATATTTTCTGGACGAAAAAAATAAATATATCTTTTCAGTACTTACCATAGTAAATTTGTTTCACTGTGGTAATAACACCTGCATAAACGTTAAAATATATTAAAATCTATTAAACTCCGATTTTAACTATTTTTACATCGCTTGCAGGGCCGTTCCCCTTGCAGGGGAGTAGTAGAGAGGTGTAGAGGAACATAGGAAATAAGTATTTATTTTGCTCCTCTTTACCATCTAGTGGCCATAATGTGATATTACATGGAAATATTCAAAATTCGTTCCACTTTTCATAACTAAAGAACGTTACTTTTGGCATATATTCACACAGAGTGAATGTTTACAGATATTGGCACGAAGAATTGTTTATAAATCAACCCCTAAGTGTAAGCATGAATTTTGTTAGACAGTTTGCAGATGTCTGGACATTTTATATGCATATGCATGTTTTGTGTCGGTGACTCAGTAAATAGTAAAGCAAGGATGCCAGTCCTGGACCCTGCACCTTCAGAAGCGAGTCAGCAGTGGCAGTTCCTACATTTCTGTTCCGGCAAATTCCCAGTGTAGTGACTGTCAATTTAAGAACAAAAAAGGGGAAGGTTCCTGAGGGATCCTTTGAAATCCCAGCTTCTTGCCACTTTCTGCACATTTCTATTGTCCATTGAGGCAGCTGATCATAGCGATGAGAAGTAATAATGGATGGGGAGGGCTAGAGTGGACAAGACCCAATACTGCCTAACCAGAAGCGCCTCACTAATCTGGCTGAGCAGGGAGACTGACAGTTGCTGCAGGTGTGTGCAAGCAACTCTAGCTGGGATTTTGGATTGTCTATAGACTATTGAATGCAAGTATTGGTAGTGTTGGAATTTTCAGTTTGTTAACTTTAGTGCAGAAATAAGGGAGTAATACACCGCACATGTATACACTCAGGATACCAGTGTACATGGGTGTGTACCTTTTGGGGTAGAACATACATTTAGGCTGGATTCACATCATTTTTTCCAGTGCAGCCCCAATGCAAGGCAAGGCAATAGCCTTGTCGCGGATGGGCACAGTTCACACCACCCTTAGAAATGAATGAAATGTCACTTGTGACATTTCAATAGAGGAAAAAAAAAAGTTACACAGTGCAATGCAATGAAATCAGCGCATCAGCACTGTGCCAGGTAACGCACACCAGCGGCTGTGCGTTGTAGGGCAGCGGTGGATGTGAATTCACCTTTAGGTAATGTGTATGCCTTACTTAGACTAAAAGCACCTACGTGCCTAATTCTTACTTTTGTAAAATAATATTTTATTTTCAGGTGAAGTGGGGTAAGGTGGTCAGCTCCTGGGTTCCTATATCTCATGGATACTACAACAGTGATATCGCCCTGCCATGTTATCCTAACTCTCAGGCACCGGAGACCTAGAGAGATGTATGAAACTGTCAGGTGCTTTAACTCTCAAGTAGCCACAAAAAGAAAATGTTATGCATACCAAGAGGCACTGCAATGTAAGCTGTTCATGATGACATTTATTTACTTGTTTTAATACATGACTGTGTTTTGCTTTTTCACAGTTTACACAGAATTGAAGCACATAGTCGACAGGTCACAGGATGCTGTGTCAGTGCAGATCATAGACAGCTTATCACCTGCTCTCTAGACTTCCAACTGAAGGTGAGTTTGGCTTATTAAATGTATTTGCATGTATTATATGTCACGTGAACAGTCCTTTATCTTACAATTCTCCTCCTTTCTCTTTTCCAGACATGGGATACCAGCCGCTATTCTCCATTAAGTTCTACCTCTTTCTCCAGCCCCCTTAACTGTGTTGCGTTTCACCCCAGAGGTCACGTAGTGGCAGTTGGCTCTTGGGATGGGAAGATATCTGTGGTGCGACTGGAAAACTGGAAAAGAAGTGCAGTAAGTAGTAGGACCACCTATTTTTTAGACTACACAGCACATTTAAGTGAAACTTATGTGGGCTCTTCATTGCAGAAGACATATGCTACTTCTGTTCTGCAATAAAACTACAGTTGCGCTCCTAAGTTTCCATACCCTGGCAAAATTTAGGATTTCCTGGCCATTTTTCAAGGAATATGAATGATAACATGTGGTTTGGTTTCAACAGAACCCCTCATGTTCCACTTCTTGATTAGAGTTTGAACACTGCTGATTGGCATTCTCAATTCCTTGGATATCTTTTTTATCCCTTTCCTGTTCTATACAGTTCAATGACCTTTTCCCGCATGTCCTTTGGACAATTCTTTTGCTTTCCCCATGACTCAGAATCCAGACACGTCAGTGCATCACTGGATGAAGGATGCAAGGGTCTGTCAGGAGGCCAGAAACTCAATTGGCCTTTTATACACACACACACTGATTACATGCAAACAGATCACAGGTGAGGATGGTTCCCTTTAATAGTCATTCACACCCCTTTGTGTCAACCTGTGTGCATGTTATCAGGCCAAAATCACCAGGGTATGTAAACTTTTGATCAGGGCCATTTGTGTCATTTCTGTTGTCATTGTGATTAGAAAAGAGTTAACACAGTTGATTGATAATAAATGGCTTCAGCCGAACACTACCCATGAGTGACAGAAAGGTTTTCGTGTTATCATTCATATTCTCTGAAAAATGGCCAGGAAATCATAAATTCTGTCAGGGTATGTAAACATATGAGCACAAGTGTAACTTACCTGACTGCAGTCTTCTTCAGAATGTACACTGAGCTGTGCTTGCACATCTCAATGCACTTTCATAGACCACCTCAGTGCAGGAATAAATGAACCCTTATGTGCATGTGCGGGAATTACATCATTCCAGCTAATCAAGAAGGCCTAAGATCCAAACCTGGTCAAAGTCTGGATGAAGATCCTGGCAAGGGAGGGATGGGAGGTGAGTTTAATTCTGCTTTAATTATGTATGAAAGATTGCTAACATTACACTTATTTCTTTAGGTTATGAGTGGTTCCTCTTCAGTAAGAACAGTGTCCTTCTCCATGGAAGGCAGTGTCGTGGTCTCTGGTTACCTTGATGGCTGGGTGTCACTTTGGTCATGGGAAGCACAAGTTGAATTGTCTAAATTTAGAGCTCACAGTGGTTCAGCTTTGACTGCTAACTTTCTGCATCATGGTGAATACCTTCTAACTGGCGGAGAGGATGGCAAGGTAATGAACCACATTCGGATTCATGGCAAACTTAGGAAAACGTTTTTGGATAAGTAATAAGTATGTGTATTTTCATATACAGGTACAAGTATCATCTGGTGGTCTCGGAAGACTACACGGACATGCCTGTGAAAAGAATGCACAGTCTCCAGTGCTTTCTCTAGCCCTGTCCCCCAACAGAGAACTGCTGGCTGTTGGATATCATTCTGATTCTGTTAGTGTCTACAGTGTGGCTACTGGTAAGAGGAAACAAAGCTTATTTTTCTATTTGTAGATCAGGATAAAAATAATCTCATCCGGGTCAACAATTATATGAAGCTAAAATACATGTTCCCTGATGTAAAACAGATGTAAATAATAAAGTTCATAGAAACATAACTATATTTACAGGAGGATGCAATATAATATTTAATTGTGTGTCTAGGAGTATGTGTGTGTAGTTTCATGATTGTGTTATATATACACACATATGCATTATATATACACACTCTCATACACATGCAGTCACTATCACTCGGTGTCCGTATCCCATCGCACTCCTAACTGGAATCCAATCCCAACTAGTAATGGGAGGGTGCAACAGTGAATGAGCATGGCGCCGCACATCAATCCATAAATAATCGAAGAAGTCAGCGGCACTCCAAAGTTCAGAACGTCAGGTTCTCTTTATTCACATAGTGGTCTCACAATGTGTGGCAACGTTTCGGAACCCAATTTGGTTCCTTGCTCACTTTGTTTGCCTGAGGAAGGAACCGAATTGGGTTGCCACACATTGTGAGACCACTATGTGAATAAAGAGAACATGACGTTTTGAACTTTGGAGTGCCAGTGGTTTCTTTGATTATTTATGGACTATCACTCAGTGGTCTCTTTTATAAGGTATACTTTTCTTGTACCAGGTAGGACCTCCCAACCTTCCACCACGCTTGAATTTAGCAAAGCGTTGTAAACTTTTATTAGGGATTTCAGTCAATGCCGGGTTGGTAGTGTCATATAGCAAATCTTGCAGCTTTGTCAGCCACACACTCATGATGTAGCATCCCCGTTCTTTCAAACAGTATGTATATCCATACCAAAAATATGGTTAGCAGAAACAGCATAATGTTTTGCCGGAGATAATGACGTTGGTGATTTAGATCAATAGATGTATATGAAATCAGTAACTTAAAATAGTGCAATGCCCTTTCATGTATTACACATCAATAAGTGAAAGTCCTAATAATGGATTATATAACTGTCATCAATAAAGAAGACATATCAGTAAACTTGAAGTGTCTGTGAATAAATTAATGAGTCATCATGATATACAGCTACAGAACTTTATAATGATGAAAGTAATTCTTGAGCTATTCCTAGTCTCTCCATGCCTTCCTAAGAATAGCACCCTGTGAGAATAATGTAATCATGTGAATAATGAGAATAATGTGATCACTCATAGTGTAACTGTCTAGCAGCTCACATGGTGAGAGACAGCAGGTGGTGGGTCTTTTTTATGTTAGGAAGTACAGGTACAAGGATTTATATAAGCGTTAATTATCAATCATTGGTTTAAATGGGTAAAAGTAAAGATGTAGGACAGTTAAAATGACAGTGGTCGTTTGTAACAGGGCTTCAAGTATTTCTTAATGACTTGCTTCTTGTATTTCAGGGGATCTTGTGACACAGTGCAGTTTTTCAGATGTGGCAGTGAGTAGCCTGGTGTGGCTTTCTGACACCATTTTAGTGACTGGCAGCTCGGACAGCTTGGTTCGTGTGTGGAATGTCTTACCAGGACAATGTTCTTGTCGGCTCACACTGAGTGGACACCAGCGCTCTATTATGGGCCTGGCTCTCTCCTCCAAGCTTCTGGCTTCTGCATCAGGTAAAAAGTGACTTCACATATTTGGCTTCCTTTAAATAGTTACCGTCTTATTGGCTAGATTCACCCCTGAATGGCACTCGTTTACCTTGGAATGAAAGAAATAATACAGTCAAGTTAAAAACGGTTATACCACAGTTCTTTTTGTGTAAGAATGAAGTCCATTTACTGATTGGTAAAACTGCTAATTGAAGACTTCACAAAGTTTAGAAATTGATATAATTGATGCATTAGATTTAAAGGGTTATTCACAAAAGGGTGAAGAGTTTGGAGAAGGCAGGAGAAGTGACCAATCTAGGACAACATAGCTGATTTGGAAAAGTTATCCAATTCAGTTCACTTTCCAGTTCAGCTATGTTGTCCTAGATTGTTCACTTCTCCTGCCTTCTCCAAACTCTTTTGTGAATAACACTGTTAATATTACTAATATTTTTGTTGTTAAACCTCTTCCTCACAACCATGGAAGTAGTCTTTTGTTGGAGATAGAATTTCAGGAATAATTCCTGCCTTTATTGTCAGGGTTATTTACAAAAGGGTGAAGAGTTTGGAGAAGGCAGGAGAAGTGACCATCTAGGACAACATAGATGAACTGGAAAGTGAGCTGAATGGGAGAATGTTTCCAAATCAGCTACGTTGTCCTAGATTGTTCACTTCTCCTGCCTTCTCCAATCTCTTCACCCTTTTGTGAATAACCCTGTGTGTCTTTGCTTCACTCAGGACTTTGCACAGAATTTGGGGTCAAACTACAGATACAGTACCTAGAACTGTGACCTTATGTGTATCTCTCACCCCACACAATGAATACAGTTTAGCAGTACACTGCCTCTGACATCTTTTTAACTATTCAGAATACTGCATAAGATTTTACCGAACACAAGTTTTATTAACTCATTTTCTCACACTTTGTAGAGGATGTTTCAGTCTGTCTCTGGCCAGTGGAAAGTCTCTTGGAATCTGATCCCACAGTCTCCCCTGTCTCTGTTCTCCGGGGTCATACTGCAGCAGTCACATGCTGTTCTTTCAGCTCAGATGGAAGACTGCTGGCTACTGGGGGACAAGATCGGGTAAGGATAGACAAGAACATGAAGCAGTTCTTTTCATTATTGGAATCTGGATACTGTCAGTGCATGGTGAATTGTATGGGTTATGCAAAGTGTTAGGTTAAAGGATTAGATGTGTTAGAGGGCAAGAGATACGGAAACATTTTAGGGGATAGCTAAAGTAGAACTGTGATCAAACTATATAATCGCATATGTGTTGTATGTTGCTGCCCATACTAGTTAGACTGGGCTTTCTGTTTACCCTCTGGGACATTTTGTAAATACCTTTTAATTTTGCCAGTTGAACCATTGGATAGACACTTCTTATGATAGAGTAAGAACAGGAGCGTAACTAGAAATCACAGGGCCCCATAGCAAATTTTTTTATGGGGCCCCGTGATTGCTACTAGTTATGCCACTTGCAGAGCCCACCATAGACTCTCTATGGTGGGCTCTGCAAGGTCTCAGTTGCGCTGTACGCCTCTTACCTGTCACCTCCGTGGTCGCCGCCGCCGGGCCCCTGCCTCCTCTTCCGTTCCCGGGCTCCGCCTCCTATCGACGGGCCCCGCCTCCTCTTACATCACTGGCCCCACCTGCTCTTAGATCGCTGGCCAGTGATGTGAGAGGAGGCGGGGTTGCTGTTAGGCGGGCCCCGCCTCCTTCTTTACTGAAAATGCCGATGTAACCGGCCTATCCTCTTCCGTTCCCGGGCTCCGCCTCCTATCGACGGGCCCCGCCTCCTCTTACATCACTGGCCCCACCTGCTCTTAGATCGCTGGCCAGTGATGTGAGAGGAGGCGGGGTTGCTGTTAGGCGGGCCCCGCCTCCTTTACTGGAAATGCCGATGTAACTGGCCTATTCTGCCGCATCTGCTGGCTGTCACTGACACAGCTCCGCAGCAGCTGTGAGGGGGAACGTTCTCCTTCACAGCAGCTGCTGAGCTATGTCAGTGAAAGCCAGCACCCGAGACGCCATAGCGACCCACACGGTATCAGAGGGATGCCGGGCCCCCCTGTGCACGGACCCTATAGCGGCCGCCTGGGTCGCTATGGTGATTGTTACGCCACTGAGTAAGAACACTCTCTTTTTCTGCAGTAAAACCACTGCAGTTGTCTTCCTTGCTATTGCTGTAGATGCTTAGACCTTGGCACGGTTGATAGACCTATCAGTAATAACCATGTCTAGCTCCACTCACAGCTTTTTACATTGACAGCACATTCCTCTATAAGCAGGATCTAAAGAGATGATGTAAAAGCTACTCAGTCCCTCCCACTCACTCCAGCACTGTCCAGCAGGATGCATGAGAGCTGTATTTACCATTAACAAAGTGGGCCATTTCTTTTAAGACATTTAACATGCCAACTTGCCTTGAACATTCCTGTTTATCTCCATGGAAGAAGAAAAAAGAGGCCTCAGATGAATTTGAATAGTTTGGTATTCAGCTTAAAAACGTTGAGGGAGCTTTGCACCTTTTTTTTGTGGCTGAAAACCTAGTACTGAGAAACAACAGTGCTTTTCCACCTACAAAGAAATATCAGTACACCAATACTAAGATGTTTCTCACAGCTGCCAATCAGATTCAAACCTATCTTGGAAGTTTGTTATTGATGATATATGAAGCTGAGATAAAACATACTGGAAGGTACGGGAGAGAGCAATTTCAGTGTACAGATGGCAAGTCCCTCCAGTGGCACCCAGAACAGGACAATTCTGACTTTATTCAGCATTGACTACTATAGTGAATTTCTGCATCCCCATCAGCCAGCCCTCAACATGTGACACTTGTATACTTATATGTAGCCAAGCTGGCCCAATGTAAGTTTAATGAAAAAATAATTCCTGTAATTTAGCTTTAAACTTCTGATACTGTATATCTGGTTTCTATAGGCTGGTGTACATATGATATTATAAAAGCCCTGTGGTATTTGTTTGTTAAATGCCTTTCATTTTTGCTCTCTTCTAGTCTGTGCTTTGTTGGGATGTGTCAGTAAACCCACCTATCCTTTCATGCACCCTCCTGTCATGTCACAAGGACTGGGTAACTGGTTGTTCCTGGACTGACAGCGGTATGCTGGTAAGATTCAGAAACCTTTTGTACCCGAGATAATGTGCAACGAACAGATGATGCTTCAGCTTTTACTGTGCGTTCATTTCCTCTTCTACTATTTGGAAGCCACTACAAAATAGCACTTCCCAAAGTTATCCACATTATGAAATGGATTATGAATTATGTATGAAATGCAAAAATAGGCAAGACGTTTAGGGACTTGATAATCATGTATGTATATTAGCACTGATTTTAACTTTTATTATGACATTTATACGAATTTCTAATCTTCTGAGTCCTCTTTAAAACCCCACCACAACTTTTGTTGTAAATGTGTATGCAATACTATTTGGAAGCCGATCATCATTTGGTGTAATCATATATGGATATATGAAATGTGTATACATATGAGCGTATTTTGTGTGGCAGATCTCAGGTTCTGGAGATGGAGCTCTGTGCCTGTGGGACATTCACAAGCAGAAGCAGCTCCTGATATTTGCTGGACATCAGAGTGCAGTCAGTAGCGTTGCTTGCATGGTATGTAGTCCTCCTTACATTTTTGGGTCACGTCTGCTTATCAGTGACACTGTTTGCCGGATCTAAGTTCCTTTTCTCCTCTTACAAGGGGGAACGTGTCATCACCACTGGCAGGGATGGCTGCCTAAAAGTATGGAGTCTTACTGGCCTTGAGGTTGCAAATATCCATACTGACCATAACCAGTTAACCCAGAGTGCGGCCTACTGGGAGCCAGAAGATAGTCGCGGTAAGACACTAATAGCAGAACTTTCACATCATTAAAGAAAGATCAGGCAATTGGAGCTTCACATTTCCAACGGCAAGGATTGTTGTAGACAGAAGATGCAATAGTGAGGGAGACCCTTTAGCCCATACATGTTAATCAGATCAGATTGATATCATTGCACATTTTAACAAAACCATATCTTCTCATTAGGCTCATTTTACTTTAAGTTATTATGACTGTTATATGTCATAACAATCGTTTTATTCATCAATGAAAGCTGAAAATAACAGGAACATGACCTAACATAGGGATCATTATGGTAAATTACCATAATAATTATAGCTTAGTGCAATGAGCATATTGTTCTTTTCAGAAACGTTGTAATATACAGGTGAAACTCGAATAATTAGAATATCGTGCAAAAGTAATTGCAGTAAGTGCTGCAAAAGGGGCCCAAACCAAGTACTGAGTACATATGCATGCTTGTACTTTTCAGAGGTCCGATATTGTTCTATGTACAATCCTTGTTTTATTGATTGCATGTAATAATCTACTTTTTTGAGGTTGTGGATTTGGGGTTTTCTGGGAGTTTTCATGAGCTGTAAGCCATAATCATCACAATTATGACAAATCACGGCTTGAATTATCTTGCTTTGCATGTAATAAGTCTATCTCATATATTAGTTTCACCTTTTAAGTTGCATTCAGCCTGCGGGCTTGGATGAATCTACCACTCCAGCTATTGTATTCTGACAGCTAGCGCCAGCCACTGTCTGAATACTTCAGCTGATTTGCTGCAGTCACTATTCAGCTGAAACGTTGTGGCCTGGCTCCTTCAACAAAAGTTGATTGAGTAATCAATTTTTGTTCATTGGGTAGGCCCACCCACTTTGGAAAGTTCTATAAGTGAATGGTCAGCCTAACTCAATATAATAGGTTTCCTAAATAGTGGATATATAATATGTATTACATGTTAACAACATGTAATACACTGTCCTTTTATTAGCATCACTCAGTTGTCAAAACAAGACAGACTTTGAGGCCATCCCCTTTTCTCAGCCCCCACATAACTGAGTTATCTGAAATGGGAGTGAATTTTTACCATGTTTTTGTGCTGTTTCATTTTAAGCTGATGCTGATATAGTGGTTTATACAGCTGGGTCTGATGGCACAGTTTTCAAATGGAGTCCTTTGCAGGTAAGATAGTTTAGTACATATACACCTACAACCTGCCAAGGATTGCAGTCATTATTATTGCATCACATGCAATGCTATGTATCTTTGCTGAGGACTATAGGACTCGCTCATCCCAGATTTGTTTTACAGATGGAGCAGATACAGACATTGCAAGGTCATGGAGGTGCAGTGATTACATCTGCAACAAATCCCAAGCATGAAGTTTCAGTAACCGCCGCCCATGATGGCTCAGTTCGGCTTTGGGGAGTGCCATGCAGGGATGGTATGAAATTCATTTTTTTATGGGTTCTATTCATAACTTGGGGGCATTTTATAACTTGTATAATATGTTATCATTCCTATTATTACATTTTGAATGTTTGTATAATTTTCATTGTACGGCTTTTCAAAGTTGAGACTGTAAATTAGTGTCTAAAAGCTATGTATAATGTGAGCGTACAGAGGCTTTATACAGCTGTTTGTTACTCCGCAGGGAATCTGAAGCGAAGCCGTCACAAAGGGGCAGTGTCTGCCATTGCATGGTCTCCAGATGGGGAGGTGGTGGTATCAGGTGGAGAGTTTGGGGATCTGATAGTATGGAAAGAACAGAAAGTTGTTCTCACTCTCCAGGTAAACCATTCTTCTTCATAGCTAATATATAGTGATTTGTTCATGATTTCTTTATTAGGCGCAGGACTAAGAGGTACAGTTGCAAAAAGTTTTTTAGGTAAAATGCTCTGTGTGAAATTTTGCAGAAGGTTGATTTAATATTTACATTACCTGCCAGTAGGTGAGACTCTAGACATTTTCTTACATGTTTAACACGATATCCTTAATTGATTTACGGGAAAAAAAAAATGTTTATTAGTCAGTAGCTGAAGCTGAGGTTTGCACACTCAACTCAATGAAGAAGAGGAGTGACTCATGTCCGTCCCCCCGTCCACCCCCCCTGCTCACTTGAGACCAGTCCAATAGAGGTTCTGTTGGTTTAAAACAGCTCCTGCTGTGCTTCGTCTTTAGAAAATCCATAATGCTCTGTGACACCACAGCCATCTTTGTATCGTATATTTTTATTTTTTATGTTTATAAATATATAACATATTTTTATGTTTATTTTTAAAACTAAAATTATATAAATGGTAAAAAAAAATACAGCACATCCATAAAGCAAAATATAAAGCACTGATGTCAAAACGTATAAAATAACGAAAAAATCTACCAAAAACAATTATAATTTCCCTTTAAAAATGCGTGCATAAAGGACTTTGAAGAAAGGTCTCTGGGTAGATATTTAGCAGGGTATTAAATCAGTAAAGTATGTGTAACTGTTTAGAAAAAAATAGATGGGCCATTCACTTACAGGTCTGTCATGGAAACGAAATGTTACCCAAAAATCCTGCTTACTTGCATGTTTCCTAATGAGCACTGACAGACTACTTGTATTAAGTCAAAATGACTAACTGAAACAATGCTTATGCTTTTATTGCAGTGTGGAGAGCTTTGCATTTTATCCGTTGTATTTACTACACAACGCTCCTTCCTCGTCATCTCCAATGATCTGACGGTTTCCCGATGGCTCCTGTTTCCTTGTAAGGGAGGTGGCTTAAGGTCAGTAAGAATGAATGAAGTGTTGACCTCAGCATAAGACTATAGTTGTGCTGGGGATGGTGTAATGTGGTGTTAAAAGTTAACTATCTGCATGACAACAAAGCTGAAAGTGTATCTATGGCCAAACCCGTTTTGTTTTGGGTGAAGTAGGGAACTGTTAGAACCAGTGTGCCATTGGGGAGATTTCCCTTCATTCCTTGTTCTGGTTACAACATTGTCACAGTGGCAGGAATTGAGAGGAAATCGTCAATAGGGACACATACAGTAATAAAACAGAGGGTTCTGGTCTTCCCTATCATCCTACTAATAAAAAGGTGTCTCCATAGCCACCATGTCCTAGTTAGTCAGCCTTGTGGAAGTGAGAAAAAGCGAGGTTGCAACAGCATCAACACCTGGCAGGGATTTTAACTCTTCCCTACTCTATCTAAAACTAAGAAAGATGCACTTTAACTATTAACTCAGAAAATGTTGGAAATAAATGTACGTATTAAGAAGTCAGCAGCTTTGCTACAAATATTAACCAAAAAGGTATCTGTAAATGTACTTGTCTTAAATCAGAATTTCACTTGCTAAAAACACTTACCAAAAAGAAAGACCCCTATTGTAATAAAGTCAAACCGCATTTAAAAACACTGAGGAACATTTATGAACACCGCTGCGCTCTATTCTCAAATGTTACAACATGCGCTTGTATGAAAATCACTCGCAGTTCCTATTCTACCTTTTGAAACTGCGTGCCAATTCCTGGCCGGCTGGTCAACATCTTTTAAAAGAGGTTTCACCACAGTTGTGGTTTATCCCTTGATTGCATGGTGCAAATGGTTGTAGCTTGAATTTTCAGTAGTGTTGGTCCACTGAGGCTTCATTACTTATCAAATGCATGAGTCTTTTGTCTCTACACGTGCTTTTAGGGCATCTTGGCTAAAAGTGCTAAACTGAAGAATCCTCGGGTAAAAAGCATTTGGTCCACATGGTCTTCGGGAGGCGACATCTCTTCATCTCTTTAGTTCACCCTCAAGTTATAACATTCCAAGTCTTCCTGATCCTTAGACAAGCCTTCCTCATCCTGAAGGTGTGCTTCTACATTTCAGAGAGAGGGGATGTTGTTAATATTTGCAGACGCTTTGACTAAGCATCTCAGACACTTAGGTGCAGGAGGTGGTATCCACAGTTGTATAATCTCCAACCTTACTGTGACAGCACAGATTAGCAGATCTCCATTGAGCCCTCTCGGGTCTTTTGTTCTTGGATGTAATTTCTACATTCTAGACATGTACCTGTCTCCAGCTTAGCCTCTCATCTGCACCTCGATGTTCACTAAGGTGCTTAACCTAGTATTACCTGTTCTGTGTTCTTTTGGTATCCCTGTTGTGTAATACTAAGTTGACTTTGTGTTGAGTGAACAATTGGTGTGGGCTTTATTGGACAGCGTGATTTTTACGGTCCACCCATTGGAGTGGTTTGGATGGATCTGGGTACCATTTGGAGTATCTGGGTCTAGTCCTGGAGAAAGTGATTCTTTTGTAGTAACTTCAGTCTCTTAGGAGCATGTCTAACGTTCCAATGCCTGTTGCAACCTCTCAGCGCCATCTGGTGGTTGCCTCTTGTCACTGCACCTACCCCAGCCTAGTGAGCTGCAGGCTGATCAGGCTAGTCAGCCTGGCTACCTGCCCCTTACAGTCTGGGGGGTTGGTTAGTGGTGCTTTCATTAGTGGGCTTGTGACAGTCTAGTCTAGTTCTGTCCACACAAGTCTCTATCCTGATCTTGAATAGGTGTTTGCATCCAGTCCTGACACAGTCTCTCCAAGCTCATATTATCCAGATTCAGTTGGACAGTAACGGTAGTGACATACATCAACCAATGGGAACAAACCAGAAATGTCGCTGTGGCAAGACAGGTAAATGGGATCCTGTCCTAGGTAGAATTTCAAATTTCTGCCTCATCCAACATATACACTTACTGGCCAGATTATTATGACCACCTGACGTTTGTAGACAAATTATCTATAATTTCGCGCTGAAGTTGCTAGAGGGCCAGACCATTATAAATAGGGAAGCAGGTTGTTTACCACGACAGTAGTAGTGATTTTTTTTTTCTGAAGATACGGGTAAACAACGCCATTTAACAGTCTTTGAACGTGGGATGATTGTTGGCGCTCAAGCCATGGAGCGAGTATCAGCAAAACAGCAGAATTCACTAAATGTTCAAGAGCAGCTGTTGTTGAAGTGTTTAAAGACTGGACTGTCAGCCGAAAATCTGGGTCTGAACGTGCGAATTGTGGCCCTCAGCGACTAGTCAATGTTAGGGCAGAACGGAGAGTGGCAAGACTGGTACAAGACAACAGAAGGGCAACAGTGCCGTGTCAGATTCCTTGCATCACCTTTAACCATCTCGTGGAGTCACGAGGCGGCCCAACGAAGTACTGATGGGTCATGGTAATAATGGCCACTCTTGCCACTCCTGGGGAAGTGGTCTCTATGCCTGGAGATATTCCAGAACCTGTGTTACACCTTCTGGCATCAAGATTTACAAACCAACCAGGACATTGTTCTTCTGTTCCATTGTCCGGCTCCGGCTTACCAAAATAAACATTTCCTCCATTGTCTAGATGTAGCTGTGAGAGACTATCTCCTAGCTACTGCTTCTTTCAGGAAGACAGATTCCCAATACAATAGAAACAGCAGGAGATTCCTCGGTCAAATCTCGTAAGCATTGATGGAGGAATCTGTTCCATCTGTAGGCTGAATGAAAAAAATAGAACCATGTATTTATAGTCTTAAAGATTAGATCCCACCCTTTCCTATCAAGGCGCACTTTACTAGATCTGTGAGTGCTTATTGAATTGGCTTTTTGAGCCCCAGGCGGTCCGCAGTTTTCTTTGCTTTTCTTGGGTTTGTGGCTTGGTTGCCCGCCCATTTGTTTCACTTTTTTTGGACATCCAGAAAGTCTAAAAATTCTTGTGTCCCTCAATGGATAAGAAAGAAATTCTGTAAAATCCTGTTTTGGAGACCATTGAGTGACACAAGTCCTGCCCCTGTGTGTTTTCATGCTTGCTGTACTACTTTTCCTAAAAAAAAAATGTATTTGTTTTTTTTTGGGGGGGGGGGGGGTTAGGGGGCAGTGTCTTTTTTTCCTGTAAGTGGCAGTATATCTATCAGGATATCAGTATTTCTAAAAGTCTAAGAATTCCGTTATCCGTAAATGTATTCCAAGAAATGGATTTCACAGTTTGTACAAAACAAAATCTATTTTTCCTTCTACAGAGCAAAGAAGGCTTACAGTGTGGAGATTGAGTCCCTCGTGCTGTCTGCAGTCCCCACCTCCTCACAAGTGCAGCTCCACACTTTGTCAGGGAAGGTGTTCATCCTGGAACCCAAAACTGGATCAATGCAGGTTAGTTCAAACAGCATATTCTGAAAGAAATGTGCCACTATTACAAACTTGAACTCACAGAGGTGTGTGTTTGTTCATTGTAGGATATCCATATTGTTCATGCCTTACTGCCAGATCCTAATTTCAAACCTCCACAGGAAGAGCTAAATCCTGGTTGTATTATTACCGCATCCCATCCAGACTTTGGTAAGATAAAAACTCTCATATTACCGGATGTAAATTGTGTAGCCTAAAGGGCAACTTTACCTTTTGGTACCAGTTTTACTTTAACCCTTTCACTGTCAGAATAGTTTTTGCACACATATGTTTCCTGAATCGGAGACCCTATAGAATAAAATAGAGGCAGTTGCAATGTATGTCACATGATATTAGTGTAACTGTTTATAAAACCCAAATTTTAAGTAAAATACCTTTAAACTAATTTTACTGCACATAAACACATCATAACACCTATTTTTTGGTAAAACATAAAAGATAAGGTTTTGGCAGCTAAATACCAAGCATGTCCAGCTTCAAAATTGCTTGTACCCATTGTACACATATGAAGAGCCATACTCATGACAGCCTACAGCACTCCTACTGAATATTGCTCTTCCCATAGGAATGAAAGGGGCATGCATATGCAGGATAAAGAAGACACAGCGAGGGCTTTTTATACAAGAAGAACTGTGCTGTTTCAGGCAGGGCGTGGCTGGGTACATATACATGCCTGGGACATAGGCTATTTGCAAACACTGTCACTTTTTCCTGAATAGGAAGTAAAGTTGTAGGAAGAGGTAGCGGTGACACTGAAGATGCGCTGAGATAGGGAAGAGGTGAACCACGAGAGAGCAGAGTCATATGAATTAAGGGAGTCAATGTACTGCAGAAACAAATTGACTGGTCATTTAACATGACATTGATGTTACAATAGTCAGCAGCTGTTAACGCATCTATATTTCTTGAAGGAGTGTCCGACTCTACTGGAGCCCTGTGGCTTCAAACCCAAAAACAGTCAAGTCAAAGATCATCTGGAAAATGGGAGCAAAAACAGGTGAGCAGAACATGTCCTATACTTTGAACCAGGCTCATGCAGCACAATCCATCATGGTGGGAGGTGGAACACTCAGATTTAGATGATCTGTAATGGAAAAGGAGAGGGTCACTCACCACTAAGCAATTCAGGAAGTGAGGTAAGGGCACTTAAATCTTTTAAGTAAACCTGTTTAAGAGAAATATGGTTGATGGCACTGTTGACAGCCTTATTAAAATGATCGTTACCTAGCTGTCAACTCCCAACCCCCTCCACCCATCAACTCCCGACCCTCTCCATCCCCACCACCCATCAACTCCATGACCAATCAAGCACAGCTGTGTCATTCAGCCAAATCTTAAAGGACTGGTGCACCCTGTGGACAAACACCAGGCAACATTTGCCCACGTGACATCAAACCCCCACACGCTTATTTAACCCGTGCCTCTTCAGCCCTGTATCTCTAGTGTCTGGTCCATGCAGCCTCTTCACTGGGTATGTTCCTTCTGTTGCTCCTGGCATTACTCCAGGTATGTTTCACCTATCGTTCCTGACCGCTGGCCTGGTTCCTAGTACTCTCCATTTGCCACACTCTGCTACTTCATAACCTGACATGCTCTATTTTTCCTTCGAGCCTACAACTGGGCACAGCTATTCCTGGTATGCTCCATTTGCCAAACTATGTTCCTTAGAGTCTTAGCAACTGGGCGCATCTGATCCTCTTCCTGCGGTGTTTCACCTGTTCCTGGCCTGCCCTTTCTGACAGTAGTCCTATTGCATTTTTCTGCTACATCTGGTAGAAATTGGAAAGTAACCTGGGGGTGGGACCTGGGAGTGCAAAAACCCACAGGTATTCCCTCCTGCTGGCAGGCTTAGGTAGCAGAATAGGATGTGAGGCAGGTCCATGGACCTTAAAGATCATACTGCCTTATGATGAGACTTCAAGTGGCAGCTTCCATTTTGGTGAGGAAATGCAGACACAAAGGGTAAAATTATTTCCAGAGTTCTGCGCTCTGACTCTAGTCTCCATTTTGGGGAGGGCAAAGAGCTACCAAGGGTACATTTTGTTGTTTTTCAGTATCTCTTGTGTAAAAAGTGTGTGCTTTACAGAGTTTAACAGCTCAAAAGCAGTGATTCCCCTGTCTTCTCCTGAATTGTCCCAAAACCATTTGTGTAACAGCAAAGCAAACAAGTGGTTAGTCCTAGGCTCCAAAACCAGCAAAGCCTTCTTTGCATTCCCTTTTTTTCATTATACACGAATGCTAGCTGCTGGTGCACCATAATGCTTCAGCATCAACACTGGCCAGAATTACTGCAGGCCTCACATTATATATTCACTAGGTATGCGCCCATACTGGGCATTTTCAAGAGTACAAGTACTTATGAAAATGCTCCAATACAAAGCGCTGACACCAGCTCTTTACATTTTTAAATACATTTGGCTGCTGTACGGTCCCGTTCTTTCTGGGGACCTTGCAGTGCCCGCACATGTATGTCACCATCCTCCTCCTTCCCGCCGTCCGCGAGACCCAGCATATCACTGGGGAGCAACACAGCGGATCTAGCTTCATAATATTCTGCATTGCTGTATAATGTATTCCTGGGATTTGTAGTCCTCTCTAGCTGGAGGTATTCTGCATTGCTGTAATAATGTATTCCTGGGATTTGTAGTCCTCTCTAGCTGGTGGTATTCTGCATTGCTGTATAATGTATTCCTGGGATTTGTTCCTGTGGCTTCAAACCCAAAAACAGTCAAGTCAAAGATCATCTGGAAAATGGGAGCAAAAACAGGTGAGCAGAACATGTCCTATACTTTGAACCAGGCTCATGCAGCACAATCCATCATGGTGGGAGGTGGAACACTCAGATTTAGATGATCTGTAATGGAAAAGGAGAGGGTCACTCACCACTAAGCAATTCAGGAAGTGAGGTAAGGGCACTTAAATCTTTTAAGTAAACCTGTTTAAGAGAAATATGGTTGATGGCACTGTTGACAGCCTTATTAAAATGATCGTTACCTAGCTGTCAACTCCCAACCCCCTCCACCCATCAACTCCCGACCCTCTCCATCCCCACCACCCATCAACTCCATGACCAATCAAGCACAGCTGTGTCATTCAGCCAAATCTTAAAGGACTGGTGCACCCTGTGGACAAACACCAGGCAACATTTGCCCACGTGACATCAAACCCCCACACGCTTATTTAACCCGTGCCTCTTCAGCCCTGTATCTCTAGTGTCTGGTCCATGCAGCCTCTTCACTGGGTATGTTCCTTCTGTTGCTCCTGGCATTACTCCAGGTATGTTTCACCTATCGTTCCTGACCGCTGGCCTGGTTCCTAGTACTCTCCATTTGCCACACTCTGCTACTTCATAACCTGACATGCTCTATTTTTCCTTCGAGCCTACAACTGGGCACAGCTATTCCTGGTATGCTCCATTTGCCAAACTATGTTCCTTAGAGTCTTAGCAACTGGGCGCATCTGATCCTCTTCCTGCGGTGTTTCACCTGTTCCTGGCCTGCCCTTTCTGACAGTAGTCCTATTGCATTTTTCTGCTACATCTGGTAGAAATTGGAAAGTAACCTGGGGGTGGGACCTGGGAGTGCAAAAACCCACAGGTATTCCCTCCTGCTGGCAGGCTTAGGTAGCAGAATAGGATGTGAGGCAGGTCCATGGACCTTAAAGATCATACTGCCTTATGATGAGACTTCAAGTGGCAGCTTCCATTTTGGTGAGGAAATGCAGACACAAAGGGTAAAATTATTTCCAGAGTTCTGCGCTCTGACTCTAGTCTCCATTTTGGGGAGGGCAAAGAGCTACCAAGGGTACATTTTGTTGTTTTTCAGTATCTCTTGTGTAAAAAGTGTGTGCTTTACAGAGTTTAACAGCTCAAAAGCAGTGATTCCCCTGTCTTCTCCTGAATTGTCCCAAAACCATTTGTGTAACAGCAAAGCAAACAAGTGGTTAGTCCTAGGCTCCAAAACCAGCAAAGCCTTCTTTGCATTCCCTTTTTTTCATTATACACGAATGCTAGCTGCTGGTGCACCATAATGCTTCAGCATCAACACTGGCCAGAATTACTGCAGGCCTCACATTATATATTCACTAGGTATGCGCCCATACTGGGCATTTTCAAGAGTACAAGTACTTATGAAAATGCTCCAATACAAAGCGCTGACACCAGCTCTTTACATTTTTAAATACATTTGGCTGCTGTACGGTCCCGTTCTTTCTGGGGACCTTGCAGTGCCCGCACATGTATGTCACCATCCTCCTCCTTCCCGCCGTCCGCGAGACCCAGCATATCACTGGGGAGCAACACAGCGGATCTAGCTTCATAATATTCTGCATTGCTGTATAATGTATTCCTGGGATTTGTAGTCCTCTCTAGCTGGAGGTATTCTGCATTGCTGTAATAATGTATTCCTGGGATTTGTAGTCCTCTCTAGCTGGTGGTATTCTGCATTGCTGTATAATGTATTCCTGGGATTTGTAGTCCTCTCTAGCTGGTAGTATTCTGCATTGCTGTATAATGTATTCCTGGGGTTTGTAGTCCTCTCTAGCTGGTGGTATTCTGCATTGCTGTATAATGTATTCCTGGGATTTGTAGTCCTCTCTAGCTGGTGGTATTCTGCATTGCTGTATAATATATTGCTGAGATTTGTAGTCCCTCTACAGTCAGTGGCAGATCTACCGGGGCACATCGCTTGCAGCTGCGACCGGGCCCTGGCGCTCCACCACTGTCCTAAAATCATTTGTTTGGATTGATCTAGAAAAACTGTCACATGACCAAAAAAAAAATTGCATCTCTAATATTAACCTTGGGTTCCATATTTCATCCCTCATCCCCTAGCACTCTCTTTATTCTGGTTAGTCACTGTTCAGAGTAATTTTTAACTTTCTTGTCTATGTGGAACTGCGTTCTCCTGCAACAGAATTCATTTTCATATATGCCTCATTTTGCTTGCTCAGTCTGTTGATATTCTGTCTCTTACCTGTTGTTTTTTTTCATGGTTGCCATTTACAGATCCATTCAGCTTCTATTTCCTGTTTGAGTGTGATGAATGATGTAGTGATTACGGCATCCACTGATCGCAGTGTCAAGATCTGGAGATGTAACCCCTTCAGACAAGTAGGTGTTACATCAAGTAGAACTCTATACCAGGTTTTTTTGTTTTGGAGAGGACAGGGAAAGGGGTTGCATAAAGATTTTATTGCTGCCTGGGCACTATTGGGGAGATTTCTCCAATGGGACATCAAGAGTAAATAAACAGCTTATGGAATGTTCTAATCTTCTCCCACTTCACTGCCAAAAATGCTTTTTTCCTGGGGTGTCCCCCCCCTTGGTGTCATTGGGACAAAAAATATATATCAAAGCCCACTGATCAATTTTTATGGTGATATTTGAAGAATATGAACAATCCTTCTTTGGAAATAAACAGATCATCTTAAATGCGATATTTCCCAGCCTGCTGCAAGTTTTGGGGATATTAGAAACAATGAACTGCTGTTGATGCACAAGTGTTATACCAAAGCGCATGAATGAGTACACTGCTGGCATGTTGGATGAAACAGCAACTTATCTATGGACAAACAATTCTTATAAACTGTGTGTATTTTGTATCTTTGCAGGTGGGAATATTCAATTGTGAAGGAGCAGTCACCTGTCTGTCCCCTTGTCCTCTGGCTCAGAGTGATACTCTGTCAGTGGCATGCCAGATCGCCTGTGGGGATCAATATGGAAATGTGTACTTGCTGACTTCTCTGCAAGTTTAGAAACTTGGTAAAGCTAGATTAATGGTTCTTTACATGTATGACAGCAATAAACCTTTGAAAGAATAAATGTCCTCATGTGCTGTTAGTCACTTTTGAATATCATAAATGGCGACCAGCCACACTATGCTGATCTCCTTGCCAGCAGATAAAAAGTGGAAATACAGAGTGTCCTGCCAAAGGATTTGTAATTCTATTCAGCCAGTCTTGTGTTCCAGGCACCACTGCCAGCAAAGTTAAGTCTCGTCATCCCCACGTGTACGGCTGGCTCCAGCATGCGACTGGACAATTAAGGAACGGCAGCACACCGAGGGAATCTCTCTGCTCTATCCTTTAGCAAAAATATAGTTTCATTGGTTAACTGTCACATGTTTAAATAAGATCCATCAGGCTCCTCAATCCTTTATCAACATAAACACATTCCCACCAGGCTAAGGCATAGGGGTCAACCTACCTTATACTAGTATCCAGCACAATGCTATTAAACACTTTCCTGGTTCAGTTAGCAGTCTTTGGGGGGCTTGTCTTGCTTTAAAAGGAGAACTATGGGGTTAAGGCTTTTCCCCATAGTTCTCCTTAGGGTAACGGGAGGACACAAACTAGCGTCCTCCCGTCACCCTAGGCTCAGTATACCGCGAGCTGTAGCTTGCGGTATACTGAGACGCCGCAGCGGATCCCGACAATTATGTCTGGATCCGCCCAGCTGCGTGAGTGACAGCTGGCTCTGCCTATCTAAAGGCAAAGCCAGCTGTACCCGCCCCATCCGTTCCGCCAGTCAGCGCTGGCAGAGCGGGGAATCCTGCCCCTCCCCTGTCACGGCAGAGAGCCGTGACAGGATCGAGAGGTGAGCGAACGCCGGTATGTGTTCGCTCACTTCCCGATCTACTGAGCCGACCTGTGACAGTCTCATTGTCACAGGTCGGCTAGAACTATGAGGTGAGTGGAAATCACTCATCTCATAGTTCTCCTTTAATTATCTGATGTGGGTGCTATAATGTGTGCCACTATCAAAGCCTGTTTTTTCCCCAACCTTATACTGATTATACCTGCTTATAGTGCCTATATGATCTGCCAATGGTAGGCTGTGATCTTTTCAGGCAACTTATGAAAACACTTACAGGGTTATTCACAAAAGGGTGAAGCGTTCAGAGAAGTGACCAATCTAGGACAAAATAACTTTTGGAAAACATTCTCCAATTCAGCTCACTTTCCAGTTCAGCTACGTTGTCCTAGATTGTTCACTTCTCCTGTCTTCTCCAAACTCTTCACCCTTCTGTGAATAACCCTGTTTAGTAAATGAAGAGCTGACAATCTCAGTTAAAATGTATGCAAGTGCAAAGGAAAAAAAAAATGCAATGCCTGCGCGTTTCAATGTATTTATCCTTTTTAAAGACCCTGCAAATACAAACAATACCGGTTGATCTGCCAGAAATTCACTTTGCTTATAAATCCTGTGGTGGTGTGACAACACACAGCAGGTTTGTATATCACTGCACAATTTAAGATGGATTACTAACTTGTTGCACCCTCTATGTCAAATTTGATCATATGGTGGTCCTGCTATTATGGATGGTCTTACTTGTATTGGAAGGTTTCACACCTTTTCTATGTTTTCTTCCTCTATCTAATCTCTGTACCCTTCTTTATTTTCTAACTAACCTTAAATATTTTTCACTCTTACGCATTACTCACTTGGTCCTATGCGACTTGCTTGATGTCTTTTGAATCCACAGACTACATTCCTGGGCCAGTTATGTTAACGCATTATCTACTACCCTACTACCCTGGGGTCTCTGCCCCTTCCCACAGTTTGGACCCCAGGTCTCCACTGCGGGAAAGATGAGTTTACTCTATATATTATTGTGACTCCAGGATGTGTATGTTCTCATTATATGCCTAATATACGACAATGTTTTTGCATTGTAACTTCTATTACTGAATAAAAAACATATTGAAAACAGAAAGATGGATTACTAACACAAGTGTCTGCATTGCACCCCCATGACAGTAATAAAAGCAATAGTAGCAAGAAGAAGGATGGGGTAGGGTGCAGAGGAAACTTTTTTTTTTAAAGAGGCATAAAGACTACCATTGTGGTTTCTCATTATGAAAATGCTAGTTTCCTGGCTGTCGTGTTTAGCCTCTTGCATCAATACTTTGTGTCCCTTAACGGAGAAAAGTATTCAAATATGGATGTCTGACTTTAGAGAAACTTCTTCCAAGTCGTCCCTTTAAATATACTGATCCTGTTGTTCATCGTACCAGCCAAACAACTAGAATCTTCAGAATGGGGTTGGCAATGGCATCCCTCAAGCAGGAATGCTTTGTTTCATATTCCTCATTTCTTAAGTGAAAATGAGGATAATGCCGTACATAAAATAAAGGCTTCAACTTTTTTGCTTTTACCCCATTTTACCAAATCTCCATTATAACACACATTTCATGGGCACTTGTCAGGTGAAATAGCAAGCACACATTTATTAACCTGAACACAAACCATGAATGTACTTTTTTGCTTTGGGGTGTGTGGCGTTAATTATTCTGTAAAACATAATTGAGCGTAGCGGTGTTGTCAAGTGTGCTAAAATGTTCCCTGTCAAGTAACCGTGGTGCAGTCATGATAAAAAAATAAACAAATACTATTACATTTTTCAAATGTCAGGTTTATTAAAGTAATACAAAATGTGTGAAGCACTTACACTTCCTTCTTCATACCCTCAGTACAGAGGTCTAGTATACAGAAACTTATTTTGTCATCGGTTCAGTCTACTGGCAGAGGTGTGGCCACCACTGGTGATGCCATCTACCTCAAGCCTCATTACATTATTTTGGTCACCTTTACACCTTCCATGTTAGTGATGATTATGCTAAGCAGCTCCTCTGTTACCACAGAGATTCATAGTTGAAATTTACTTGCAGCAAATACTTCATTTGTACCTGACAAGAGTCATACACAATGTACTCATTGTAATTTAGTGTATAGCCATCATTATTCTGTAGTCCTGTGTCGATCAGGGGCCCCATCGGAACCATTGCTCCTTCACTGGAAGACGAAAGGAAAAGGTTAATACCAACCAATAGATAACACCACTCAGTCCATACAGTTTCTAAAACTTACTGTTTGATAGACTTCTGTGGGTCTGGAATACTACGGCCAACACCTTTTGTGCTGTGTTTTCCCTTCAATTGTTTCTGAGCATCATAATCTGCAGCTATAAGCTCATTACAGTTACCAAGGGCCACCTGAAACAGAAGGACATATATCCAATACGCATGACTTTAATATTTAAAAATGAAAGGTTTACGAAAAGTGAATCTCAGACTCGGATTCATTAAAAAGCTTTCCGTGCGCTGTTCTATTTGTGTAAAGCGTGCAATTCATCACTGTCTAGAAGATCAAAAGTTTTCAGCCCAAGAACAATCTCCAAAAGGAACCAGAAACAAATTCCTGCTAGTGCCCAGCTACCTAGAAAGTAGGAGTATAGTCTCATAAGGGGATTACCATTTAATATCCAGTTATACACTGAGTGGCCAGACTCAGTTATACACTGAGTGGCACTTCGTTGGGCCACGAGATGACTTCTTTGGGCCACGAGATGACTTCGTTGGGCCACGAGATGACTTCGTTGGGCCGCCTCGAGATGTTGAAAGGCGATGCGAGGAATCTGACACTGCACCCATATCTTCAGAAAAAAATCACTTCTACTGTCGTGGTAAACAACCTGCTTCCCTATTTATAATGGTCTGGCCCTCTAGCAACTTCAGCGCAAAATTATAGCTAATTTGCCTACAAACGTCACGCGGTCATAATAATCTGGCCACTCAGTGTAGAAGATGTATGTCCATGAAAGGTGGGATTTAAGAGAGGGACGACAGAACAATAGGATTGTTGTACTTGGTGTAAAACTCTTTTCTTGTAGTCCATTGAGGATCACAGGACGTAACCTTCAGGTTATAATTGCACCTGCAGGAAGATTGGACACTTTCTTTAGACCAGTCCAGAATAACCCCTCCTACTGCTTACATTTTCGCAGAAAAGCAGTCCGAGAGTATGATCATAAACACAGAGACAGGACCTCAATGGACTCCAAGAAAAGGATTTATGGTTAGTACAAATCACGTCCATTGGAAAGTAATAAATATCAGTATAAATGATGGGTGGGCAACACATGAAAGAACACTAACAGGCCCCAAAAAACAACAGAGAATTAGGGACTGCCTGCAGCTCAAGGAGTCGTCTGAAGGATCTCATGCCTAAAGTTGGCATTAGATGAGGCTGTAATGGCCATCTGGTGAAAACTTAGAGAATGCGTGACAAGAAATCCAGATGGCAGCCTTGCAAATCTGGGAAACAGCTGCTTAATGCCAAGAAAGCGCAAGAAGCATTTGCAGATCTAGTAGGGTGTGCCTTGACAGGAAAGGGTAGAATCCAATCCTTGAGTCCATAGGCTTACATGATGATCTGCCTGAGCTGGTGGAATGAGGAGGGCTTGGGAATGCGCTTGGGGCCTCTGCGAGCAGAGTCAGCATATAACTTCAGTCATAAATTCTTGCATGACCTAAGTCAAATCCTCAGCTGAGAGGGCCCAGCTACACCTGAGAGAGTCAAGGAGGACTCCAAGGACTAAACAGACTAAGCTCAGAGGATAACGTGATCCCAGGCTGCAGACGTTGGCACTATCAGAAGGTGCACTGCAAGCAGAACTATAAGTAGAATGTGGGCTGGGGGTACCGGGTACACTGGGACTACTCCCCCAACCCGTGTCTAAAATCAGACCTGTTACAACCACATAGCAGTAAGGAAACAAAGGCTCAGGTTAAAAGGGAAAGGCCTCAGGTACACACAAATTGTGGACAGCTAGTAGCAGGTGAGGTTCAAATGGCTGGAGGTCACTAAAGTCATTGTTGGGCAGCAGGAATAGCTTGAAGTTTGGCTCTTTTCAAACAGGAGTAGCAGTGAGGAGATGCTGTATGGCAGGAAAGCATGAGTGTGTGACACTCCACCTAGTGGATGACAGCAATACTCGGTCCCACATAATTTACCTCTTTCACAGCAAAAACCAGAGGGAGTGGGGAATAAAAGGTGGCCAACAACCTAAGTAATCGAGGTAGTTACTGCTGCATGGACTGGCCGGAGTACTTACTGAATCTCCAGAGATAGGGAAAGTGCTGAGGCAATGTCATTGGCTTTGAACCTGGAAAGTGCTCAGCATCTTTTACCAGAATATCTCCACACATCCAGTCCAGCAAGGTCAGGAAACGGTACTTCAAAAACCAGACTGAGAACTACCGTGCTGAAAAGCTACAATCGAAGAGACAAAGCTCTAGCAGTAATATAAAAAAGAGCTGTGATTGAAGAAGAAAAAAATCAAAGTCTTAAAGTAGTATTAAACGGTCAAACTTTTTTCAATAATGAATCCAGATCAAACAAATATACATTGTCCAGCAAAGCATTGCTGTACATTTTTGCCCAAACACTTACAATCATCATGTTTCTGAACAGCTGCTTCCAATTTTCTCAGCTTCCCTGAACTTCCTGTGCAGTACAATATCACAAAAGGACAGTGCTCTGCTTGACAAAGGAGTCACTCTAAAACAGGAAGTCAGGACCAGTGCTCAAGGGACGAGCTGATTCTGCAGGAAACTAAAACTTTTAAACATCAAGGAGCCGCATCCATTGTAACTGATTTAATCAGCATTTGGAATAGGTCAAAATTCTTTTACTCTAATATCACTTTAACACGGCAGAGCTGTAGAAAAGACATCCATCCTCCTAGGACACTAGCAAAAAATGAGGCACGCTGGTAGTGGGAGAGGTCATCGTAAGCTGGTCTACAGTTTTTTTGTTTGGCGGTGTCCAATACTCCTGTAGGCAGCAGTATAAGGTTAAAGACCTGTGTCCCTACCTGGAGGAGGAAAAAAGAAAAAGCTTTTACTGACAACGGACTCTGGCCACTGCTGTAGCACTAGCCCCTGCTGCAATCACATTTCTAGCTATTAGGTTCAGTGGCTTACGTGCATCTTTGTTTAGCGTTGTCTGTATTATATTTGATAAGCTATGATTATTAGCTTTACCATGACAAAGTAAATAGGTAAAAGAAAGTACACAATCACCAAGGCAGAGCTGAATAGCCAAGCCAAGTGTTACCCTCATTGATCATTAACAATCCCTTTCAATCGCCTCATTGATCATTAACAATCCATGATCAATTCTCATTTCTGAAAATCAGAATTACCAAGTGTTCGAAATTCCCAACTAAAATTACCTCACAAAGTAGAAGAATTCCCACATTCTTATCACGAGAGGTGAAGCAGTCATTTGCACTCTTTGAGGAGACATCAGCAAAATAAATTCCTTTGCCAAACTAAGGGAAAAAAAGAAGTTGAAATAAATATTACTTGCAACAACATTCATCTATTTTTTTATGTACTTATAACTACAGCAGAAAGATACAAAACTGTTTCAGAAGCGTGGGGAGACTAAAACATACTCTTGTCAACAACCTAAACAAATTGCAGGCAAAAATAAAAAGAAAATGGTTTTACGTGCAGTGTTTGTTTTTTTCCCCCCATTAATAGTTTTTTTTTTAAATTTGCAATGTGCCTTTGAATTTTCCCAAAAAATGGACTACTGCAGGAAGCGTCAATTACCTAGCACAGCCCCCTGCCTACTTGCATGTCATAGCCCTCTCTTCATCTGGGAGTATCTAAATACTGTCTGAGCTCCTCCACCCCTCCGTTAACCTCCCTATACAACCTTTAATGTAGCTGTCGAGAAAACAGCAAAGGGGAATACTATAGAGTGTCACTTGAGTAACAGTTCAGAGTCTGCTGGGGCAACTGACATCACATCCAAGATGGCAGCACCCAGCAGAGGTCTCAAGGTTTTTGAATGTCTACAGAAGGGAGGCTTTAAGAGGTGAAGAACATGCATCAAATACATATCTCTCAATGTATTTCTTGTTCAAAACCTAAATAAAGAATTTATTTAAAAAAAACAAAACATATCTTATGGGAATACGATCTATACATATCTATGGGATTATTTTGTTGAAATTAATAGTCTGGCAACAGGACCTCTATAGCTCCCCAGAAGGAACCGACATTAGTTTCATCCAAGTGTTATGATGTGTAAGCTACTACAGCATATACTTCTGTTGTATTTGTCAAGATATGGCTCTTTAATGTAGCAATAATCTGTTACCTACCATATACCCTGTTACTGGGGCTTCTGGGGGAGCCACACGCAGACCTTGGCTAAGGATGCCAACCCAGTTAGACAGACGAGATCCATGCCAGAGAAGCATTCTTTATAAACAGAAACATTATAATGATGAATCTTTTTTTTCTATTTTACCACACATACATAAAACTCTACATAGCAGGCATATTACATTAACAAGTTACAAACAAACTTCTATTCTTTGAATAGCCCTATGAATTCTACGGAAAATAGATGAAACAAACAGAATCAGATTTTTGTATTGGCTGTAAAATCCTTTTCTTAGAGTCTATTGAGGGACAAAGGAAGTCTGCACCTTGAGTTTATACTGCTGCCTATAGAACGGATGTACACTGGCAAGCAAGGAAGGATAGCAAGAAAGATAGCCCTTCCTACTACCAGCATGCCTCAGTTTCGTAGCAAAAGCAGTACAGAAAGCATGATCATGAACACAGGGGGACAGGACCCCTCAATGGACTTCAAGAAAAGGTTCTCACAGTACAAAAATCGTATATTCTTCCTTGTTCATTGCAGGACATCTTCACTTTCAAAATGTCCAAAAGCAGTCTAAATGAAGGGGTGGCAACAGAGCAAACTAAATATTACTAGGCCCACTCGAAAACGACAGAACTAGGGACTGCTTTCAGCTCAAAGAACTGCCTGAAGGACCTTACACCCAAAATCAACATCAGAAAAGGGCAGAACATCTATGTGTGGAAAACATGTGAACAAAAGACTAGGTGGCAGCCTTGAAAATCTGGGAAACAGAAGCCTTATGCCAAAAAGCCAAAGGAGGCACTCACAGATTTGACAAGAGTGTGCTTTGACAGGAAAGGGTAACCCCTTTCTTTAAGACCATAGGCTTGGATAATAGTCTAACTGACTCACAGTTAGAACTTCATCCAGGCAAAACACCCAGGCGGAAAATCTCCCTATGATGAACAGGAGCCAAACAGAGGGACGGAAAACCGATTTCCTGGTTGAGATGAAAAGTCAAAACTACCTTAGGTAGGAACAAAGTCCTGAACACCAACACCCCCTTGTCCCTTGAATACATCCTCCAGCGCACTTGCCTCAGGAGGTGCTGGCTACAAGAAATATCAACTTATGAGTAAGACTGGAAAGAGGAATATCTCTGATGAGTTTTGATTAAGTCTTAATCAAGAAATGGGAAGCTAAAAGTCTCTGGAACAAGATAGCAAGACCAGAGATCTGATTCTTAATAGTGCTGAAGGCCAAAGTAGTAGGAAGGCAAAGACTTATACCACTGAGGATTTCTTGGGGCAAAATCTTGCCCCTACAACCAAGGAAAGTATGCCTTTCACATACGGTGATAGACCTTGCAAGATGCAGAATACCTTTTAGCATTGTGGGAATAACCGATTCAGAGATGTTCTTGTTTTTTTTTTTAGAACCTGGTCTTTAACAGTAATGCTGTTAAAGTCAGCGACATTGAAGCAGGATCGTAAATCTGTGCAGTCAGTCAAAGTCAGCAAACATCTGTGATATTTGGCCCATAAGGTTCTGCATGACTGCAGTGAAGCCCTCTTTGGATAGAGTGGAGGAGGTGGCTATGCCCGACGCAGGTATGGAAGACTCCAAAGATGACAGATTCTAGAAGCAGAGGACATGAGGGTATGAGGCAAGGTATCAGGTTCTTACAAACCCATACGCTGGTAGCAGTTGTAGGATTACACAGCGGGGTAGGGGACTAAGTCACTGTAGGTGGGCAAGATGAATGTATTGAGGATCAGAGTTCAGCATGGCTCTTGCAAGTTTGAGCACCAGCAGGGTGATGCTTTCTCTACACTGAACCCCCTTCTGTGGTAAACCAACAGAAAAAGGGTAATTTTAAGACACTCAGCAGACTAAATGACAAGGTAGCTCCTGGTGCTCAGCCCATATGGCCTACTCACAAGGTGAGTCTTAAGAGACAGGGCATTTGATGGAGCAATGTTGTGGAACTGGATAGAGATCCGCAGCTAACCTTTAGTATGGAGTCTGGAAAGTGCCACAAACGAAACCCACAACATCCATTCCAGCCAGTCCCGGGTACGGAACTTCAAAGCTAGCCAGTGGAAAGGCCAATCCGGATGGCTGCCATGTAGGGACTAGCTCAGGCAGCGATAAAGAAAATATGTCCATCCTCCTAGGACACTAGGAAAAACTGAAGCATGCTGGTAGTAGGAAGGTTTATCCTGGACTGGCATATAGTTTCTTTTGTTTGCCAGTGTCTCATCCTCCTCTAGGCGGCAGTATAGCAGAAAGGTGTAGACTTTCTATGTCCCTCAATGGACAAGAAAGAAAATTCTGTATTGAATAAGCTAGACAGTGACTACCGGGATAAAGATTAGTAAGCATATTTTTCCTTCTCACTCAGGGCCCATTTACACCATATGTGTTGTGTTAGGTTGCCTTGCAGCCTCACAGTATAGACAAGCCAATCTGCCTTATGTCCTATTAGTTCAGTTCACATCACTGCATTGAAAAAAGTGAGACATGCTGCATTTTTACACAGTGCAGCATGTTGCAACACCCTATATCGCAACGCGCTGTGTAAAGTTTAATGAAATGTAATTTTGTGACATTTCAATAAAGTTACAAAAAGAAAACAAAAAGGTGAACAGTGAAATGCATTGTAATCAGAACATCAACCGGTTTCCTTTACAGAGCACATGGTATAAGGCAGGCTGCTGATGTGAACAAGCCCTCAATGTAATCTAAATACAATGTTTCTATTGACATTAACTCACACCCTTGAATTCTTTAAAAACCAGACAGGGTTCTGATAATTTGCTGTATATCTTGTAATACAGACCTGTTGGGGAGTTCTGCTCGGAAGTTGCTCTCCTCACCTTCTTTTTTTAGCCGGAAAACATTCATTAAGGTCATAGTGTAATCATTATGAGTAGAGGCATGCGTTGTTTTCAAGTAGCACTCAATAAGCTGTTCAGGAAGATGCAACAAAAACGTGTGTCAAGTTTGGACTAGAGATTAGTAATCTTATCCACAAAGAAATCAGCAAGGATCTTTAAAGCAAAACTATAGGCAAGCAGCTAAATACACACATGTAATACATATGTGTAAACTGTTACCTAAAAACAGCTTTGTCATTCTGTTTAACCCCTTCGTGACGGGAGACGTACACTGTACGTCCAGCCACAAAGGGACCAAATGACTTGTCACGTACACTGTACGTGGCGAGTTATTTGCTGCTTTAGAGGGCTGTTAACGCTGAGAATCAGCTTTTAACATTCATTAATGGATGCCCTTACTACAGAGGCATTCATTAATGAAAGGGTTAACCTTTTTCAGACACCCGATACCTTAATATCGGGTGTCTGAGAGTCAAAGCAGAGGGACACACATGCCGGCTTTTGCCGGCATTCTGACAGCTCGTATAGATCGAGAGAGCTATCTCTCTCAAGCTTTTACTGGCTTTTTTTTTTTCTTTCATGAATAGATACATAATGTGTCTATTCCTATAATGTATCTATTCCTGACAGAAGAATGTTTGTTTGCTGATCGTTGTTGCAACAATCAGAAAACATTTAGTGACAGCTGAATCCTGAACTGCTGCAGGATCAGTGTCACTAACTTATTATCGGCTGTTCTGAAGTTTGAAGCAGCCTGATAATAACCAAAAATGTATTAATTTATCAAGCAGTAACAGTGAGATTAATTCACAATGACTGCTTGATATAATTAAATAAATAAAATAACATTTTTAAGTTTAAAAAAAAGTGAAAAGTGTAAAAAAAAAAAAATTTTGTAAAAAAATAAATAAAATAAGGGACAAATAAATGAATGTATTTATTGCATTTTTTTAGCTGTGCTGGTTTTGTAAAAAAAATACTACAAATCAAAACTGGGAAAAAAGTTTTTTTTTTAATGTTTTTTTCCTCTTTTTTTTATATTTAATTTTTTTATATTTTTATTTTAAGTGAGGCTTTAGACACACATATGTGATATAAATATGTAGCCCTATCTGTCCTCTAAAAAACAATATATAATATGTGTGGGTGCACTTTGTAAGAAAGTATATTACTGACGTGGAAGAATCACACAGCAAAAATGTCAAAAGTGTGTCAGTCATTTACGAACAGAAACTAAAAACAAGCTCAGTCATGAAGGGGTTAAATCAAACTTGTGAGTTATGTACCACTGCAAGAAAGCATCTCCAGGTCCCTGACCTAACGCCTCTCTACTGCTATTAGAGCTGATTGGATAGTAATGGAGCAGCACACACTGATGAGGATACCGTTCTGATTCCCTCCGACCATCAGCGAGCTCTCTGTGCTAGAATGGCATTATGCAGTACAGCCTGACTGACTCCTAGTCTGAGTACTGCTGAACAAGGGATTACAGGAGGCTAATAACGACAGTATGAGGTAGAATTCAAAATAGAGTTAATCCTTTAATAAATGTATAACTTGATGAAATGTGGGTATTTTATGTTTGCTGATAGTTCTGTTTAATGTTAAAACATTAAATATCCATGTGCCACATATTTTTTTGAGTTGATTCATGTAAACAATCATAAACATTGCCTTTGATGACGTAAGGCGGAGTTACCTGACGTGGCAGTGAGGGGATTGGTATTGACAGAAGTGTGCATAACGCTAGCGGCGTCCGGATCCTGACTCACTTGTTTGCTTTTAACTTTGGATGATTTGGAAGTAGGATTATAATAAAGATTGTATTCCTATAAGATTGGTGTGCACTATGTATTTTGTACTTCTTCCTATGTGACACTGCACAGAGGGGAAGATTGCTGAGATTGGCTCACCGGAGAGAAGTTTCCATCAGCCATTGTATATATGGTGTCCTGCCTGTCATTGAACGGGACCAGTGCTGTATGACCCACTGTGGGGGTCTTTGTGGAAGGTGAGCATTTAAACTTCACAGCAAAGTTGAAGATTTTGTTTTCTTTGATTGCACATCTTACTACAGTCCCTTTGAGCACTGGAAATAGTTTGGACTGTGCACTTTAATATTATGGTGATGTTGCATTATTGTATCACTGTGTCATAACATTGTACACAGCCTTGACCACTCACCCCCCCTCCCGGTCTATTTCAAATTACAAAAGCCAAAAGAAGGCTGGCTATTGCACCCTCCCACTGAGCAGAGGAGCGGAACTGAGAGACAACTTTCTCCCTCAGGTCTGCTCCTCTGCACAGTGGGTTGGGTTTCAATAGCCAGCCTGCTATTGGCAATTTCAGATTAAAAAAGCCAACAGCAGTCTGGCTATTGCTCCCGGCTGCTTACAGCCACATGTGGAAGCTAGCCGGCAGGAAAATGGGGCTACGCAAGGGGGTTGCGCTGCGGGAGGGGTCTGGGGGGTGCAAGTAGCTGGTCTTGCCCAGGGCACAAAATGGTCTAGCACCGGCCCAGGATTTGAGTGAGGTTTTGCTTAGCGTGGCACATTTTGTTCCATATTTGAACCACAAACATGGTTTATCTGTAAGTTCCCCAGCTACAACAGAGTGTACAATATTTGGCACTGTAGTGCAAGTGGGGAATACTTTATAAATCAGCATGGGAAAAAAAACGTACCTGGAATTCATCTGATGTTTTACCCAAAGGCTCCAGTGAGCATTGTAACTGCCGATAATGCCTGTCCAGTGGGTGCTCATGGGAGCCGAGATCCATACTTGCCAGCTTCACTGCAATTTGAATGTCACCCAAAGCCTGTAGGGGTCAGGGAATTTATTTTGAAACACTTGATTTAATATGATTGTTTACAATGCAGTAAATAACATATGAATAGAAAACGTTGTAAACATCAATGGTTTACTGTCTGAAAGTTTTCCACAATTCGAAAGTCATTTAGTTGCATCTGGATCTCATTGCACATTCTGGCTGACGCCCTGCTTTGGACTGGGAACACACCATTTTTTAGGTTTTATTTTTTATAAAAGAGCTATTATACATGGGACTGCATCAGATAATGTTATGGGTCTCTAGTAGGTCATGGCGTAATCAAATGACCATCAGGCATCATCTTTACTCCTGGGGGGTGAAAAATCACCCCTCTCACTCTCTGGTGACAGGTCTGCCTTGTTGAGACATCTAAACCCCATGTGCTGCAGACTGAGATTGAGCACAGAGAGTCCCTCAATATACCAAACACACCACTATGACCAAGAACCAGGGAGTACTCAGGAATAAACATCTCCAGCCTCTTTCACTGAAGGACATGAGTGATTGCAAGTTTGAGTCTCTTCTCCTCAACAAACATGCGTTTCTGAGCATGTTTGTGGGTTCAAGATTGAAAATCATGATTGCAGCCAATCAAAAGTGAGGGGGGAGAGGCTCTGACAGTACACCACCTTTATAGGGACCTCCACACTTATTTAGTAAGCTAATCATACCTCTTTCAACTTGCAATGGAATTACAAATGATGAGGCCATACAGTTGTGTGCATGTACAGCTTATTCTCTAATGGAAATGCAGGCTTGGCAGTAGAGAGCTTTTCTATTAGGACCTATAAAGAAAAGCCACACTTGCACAGCCTTGGTAGCACAGAAAAGGGCCCAGCACTGAACTTCATGGGCCAAGTCAACCGCTGATCTGAGTACGCGGGGGTATAAGGAGCATGGGGGCAGCTGTAAGGCTTTGTTTATAACCAAATTGTGCCTTTTAACTTGAATTCTTAAAGACACTCCTACCTCATATTAACAAAACCATGCACTTAGAGGGTGTAATAAAGAAAGTTGCAGCTCTTACTTCTAGTAGTCGCACTTTCAAAGCCAGCTCCTCTACTGTCCTGATTAATGGGGGTGTCTTTAGTCTAAATAAGGAGAGACCAGAAATTATCGCAAATAAATGTATTGAAAATTGTGGTCAGGCAACAAAGATCAATTTCTTGATATCTGCAGAAGTAAATGGATATAGATATGTACCCGAAATCATGTGGAATTCTGGTGTAAAATTCATTGCAGGCTTCAAGAAGATGTTTGCCAAACTTTTGTTGTTTAATACAGTTCTCAATACGTTGCAGGGAGCTGTACCCCGCATGGATCTGATCCACAGTGAGCTTTCCTGGAGAAGACAGAAAAGTTACCGTATATACTCGAGTATAAGCCGTCCCGAATATAAGCCGAGGTACCTAATTTTACCACAAAAAACTGGGAAAAAGTATTGACTCGAGTATAAGCCTAGGGTGGGAAATGAGGCAGCTACTGGTAGATAGATACCAATAAAATTACATGAATATTTATTTAAAAGAAAAATAACCTAGCTCTGTAAGTGGAAAAGGGGGTACAGGGCTACATATCATGTACTACGGATCATTTAACCCATTCATATTAGCAGAGGATAATTGTAAATCTATTGTTCAGTGCACTCTATATGTAGTATATAGTACATGTACATATAGAGTGCCTGCAACAATACATTTACAATGATCCTCTGCTAACATGAATGGGTTAAATGATCCATAGTACAGGGCTACATACAGATCATTTAATACATTCATGTTAGTATAATCCGAGCAGGGTCATCTGGCAGTCTCCGGCCACCTAAATTAGGATCCGGAGACTGCCAGATGACCCCGCTCGGAGCGCCACCCACCGGAGCAGCAGTGACGCGACGCTTGGCGAGGTAAGTAAGAAGAAATGACGCTGACTCGAGTATAAGCCGAGGGGGGCACTTTTCAGCAAAAAAATGGGCTGAAAATCTCGGCTTATACTCGAGTATATACGGTAATTTTAAATATATAATTAAAATGACTAATTCAAAAGACAGTATAACCCTGGTCAAAGCAAGTGTCTTACCCAGAGGTGCCTTCTTTGTGTCATACTTCATCTCTAGCACAGTATCTTCCATGTTCTGCATGTTACAGATAAGTTGGATCAAGGCCTGAACCAAGTTGTCCAGTTTGCATTCAGGTTTGGGAATGTCAGATAGCTTGTCAACTTCCACAACATTTTTCTCTTCCTATGGGCAACACAAACATAACGGGCGTTAGTAAACAGATCAGAATTTTGATTTGTCACACAGGAAACATAAAATATGTATGCACATGTACCTCCGTGGTTGTGTTATAATCCAAATGCAACATGTCATATTTACCAGGAACCTTTTCGAAATTTCCACGCTCTGACCAAACATTCTTGGTCTTATCGAAAAACCTGATAAAAATATGTATCATTTAAAAATGTGTAATAACTGCAAATTAATTAGCACAAAAAGTTACAGTAATGTTGTAGTTATCCCAGACCTACCACAACTTAATGCGTACAGAAGAAGAAGCATGGGGACCTTCATTCAACCAAATCCTCAGTATGAAGGTGGCATCTGACTGAAAGCTTCTGTTATAGACTACCACTACACAAGTATGTGGAGAAGCGGTTGCTCACGTTGGTTGAGTTTTGGTAGGAATCCCTGACCGCATAGCAATGGGAGGAATAAGATTCAGACACTATGACACTAAAATTGACAATGGCCTTAAAGTGACATTAAACCCTCAGTTTAATGTCACTTTAAACCATAAACCAATACTGTAATGTGTGCCTTACTGTAATCCATGGTTGTTTCCCTTCTCTTTGCTGCTCTTCCTTTTAAATCTGATTCTCTTCTCATGCTGGGGGGAGAACTTCCCTTTGCAGCTGACTGCCTCTTCCTGTAGTGCTGGCTCAGGTTGCAAACCTATACACAGACACCATGTAGCCATTCCAGAGACAAGGCAGTCTGCTGCAAAACAGAAGTTCTGCCCAGCATGAGAAGAGATACAGATTTAAAAGAAAGAGCAGCAAAGAGAAGGGAAACAACCATGGATTACAGTAAGGCACACATTACAGTATTGGTTTATGTTAAAAAAGGGTTTAAAAGGGTTTAATGTCACTTTAACTTTCCTATGACATTGGAGAGCAGAGGTGTGCAGCCATCGATAAAAGGCAAATGGGTTTCCCAAAGTGTGCAGATGCAGAGGACATGGGATAGTCTTAAAGCACTCTGATGTAGGTAGTCGCAACTGTGAAGGGGGGGTTGGGGGGGTGGAAAGCTGCACACTAGAACTACAGTGAGTTTTCAGCTGCATGCACAGACTCAGGGGGCACTCTGTGACTAAAGGAAAGTATACAAATTCAAAAAATACATCTTTGGACAATCCAAAGGGCTAATGTGCACAAATAATGCATAAAACAAACCGGTTACAGAAAAGAATAGGATAAAAAAAAAAAAAAGAAAAAAAACTTACTTCTTCTGAAATACGTCCTTTGCTTTTTGAAGGTCTCCTCCATATGAAACCAGAGAATTTTGACCCACCTTTCCCACTGGCAAAGAATACACATTAGTGGGCATTTGGTTAAAAGTAACTTTACTTAAATGCATATTAAATCTCGTGAAGACTCACCTCGTCCCCAGCGCATCCAGACAGAGAAACGTTTAGCGCCGTCATCTTCAAGCAGCTGGATCAGGTAGTACTTATTGTTATTAAACTGCAGGTTAGTCTACAGAAACAGAAGATTTGTTAATTGACTTTCACAATGAATTTCACAAAAGTTACCTATTTTTACATGTTATTTCAGAGGTGCTTGGTTATTTCACACAAGGTTTGCACTTTCAATGTAGATTAGGGGCCTGTTCACACTACAGCATTGCACAAAAGGCATGGAATCCATGTGTTTAGTGCACACTATTGCACAGCACACTGCACTGCATACTAGCTGCAATGGTGCATTGCTATTCATTCTGAATGGCACCCCAACGCACCTCCTGGAGGTTTGTTGCAACACATAGTACCATAACAGCGTGCCCTGCATGGCGGTGGGTAAAAAAAAAAGTGCATGCATTAGTTTTTTTTCAGTTTTCATTCAAGTTGTAGTATGATTCTATCATGTCCACCTAAGTTATCTTCGAGCCATTTAATCACTTGCAATGCAACCTTTTTTGGTAAGCAGCACAAGCTAGTACAGTACCAGGCCACCTTGCATGTGGTGCAAGTGCAGTGCGCTGTGCAATACTGTCCACTGAATGCACAGCTACTGTGCCTTTAATGCAATGCTATAGTGTGAACCGTGTTTATAGATGCATTTTTAAGGATTCCACCAAAAACAGACCAAAAAGGTTGCATGTACTAATTGTTCTAATGTGTAGGGCTGCAACAACTAATCGACTAAATTGATTATTGAAAAAAGTTGTCAACGCTTTCAATCATCGATTAGAGCACTACTATTCAGCAAAAAAAAAAAAATTCCACAAAAGCAGAAGCAGCCGTGATCTTGGCATTGTTTTTTTTTTTTTTTTCAGCTGGCACCCAGCTTTCACATACAAGTGATCGCGTCACCCGATCACATGTACGCAGATTTTAAAAAAAAGGTGCCGTCTACCCCACCCCCCGGCTATCCTGGCCTCCACTGTCCCTTGTGCGGCATGGCAGGTGTCTGCTGCTACATTGGAAGGGGGATCAGCACACTTCCAGTGGCTTATCCCCCCCCTCTGAACACAGAACCCAGAAGAGGACATTTCAGCCTGTAGCATTTTATTATATTCTACAGGGCCTCTGCCTTTAGAAAATATATATTTGGGGTGGTTTTAAGCAGTTTTCTAGTCAAACATTCAAATTTTAACATGTGTGTACAAAAATGAAAAAATTGCTGCGGACAAAAAGTGGTTTAAAAGGAGAACTATGAGGTGAGTGAAAATCACTCATCCTCATAGTTCGAGCCGACGTGTGACAATGAAACTGTCACAGGTCGTCTCAATAGATTGGGAAGTGAGCGAACACATACCATCGCTCGCTCACTCCTCGATCATCTCCCTGCAGCAGTCACGGCTCCCTGCAGGTATTCCCCCCCGCTCCGATCCTCCAGCGCTGACTGGAGGAACGGACGGGGAGGGGGCGGGCACAGCTGGCTCTGTCTCTACCTAGAAAGAGCCTGCTGTCACTCACGCAGTTGGGTGGATCTCGACAGCATTGTCAGGATCCGTCCCAGCTGCGGCGGTCTCAGTATAGCGCGAGCTGTAGGTAGCGGTATACCGAGCTTTGGGTCACGGGAGGAGGCTAGTATATGTCCTCACCTTACCCTTAAGAGAATTATGGAGAATAAAACACTTAGACCATAGACCATTCTACACGTTTTTTTTTTGTTTTTTTACTAAAAGGCAATAATTCAAAAATAAGAAGAAGCCATCATAAAATAAAAGTTGTCTAGTAGAGAATAATGGAAAAGAAGAAAGCAATGTAATATTTATATTGTGGCTTTGCTCTGCATATCCAAAGCTATTTGAAAATAGGTGGCCAATGACAGTCGTCACAAGGAAAGCAGCAACCTGCATCAAGGTATCTTGGCATTACTACTCTGTGTAATACAAAGCAACTGTTGCATTTCATGTTGCTTGTTGTGTTAAGAAAAAAGCAGTAATTTAAAGATTATAAATGGTATCCATAGATATACCTCATGCATACATTTTACGTATGGACCAAAAACTTAAATCTGACAATTTAAAAACACATGAAGCCACAGAATACTTGCAATCAGAGGCAATGAATAATGAATAAGGAAACTTGCTTATTGCAAATGAATTACTTTAATAACATTTAAAGAACAAAATATTTAACTATGCATTCATTTAAAAAGGTCCTAAAATCAATGCATTTTATACTGAAATGATCTGAAATCTATGAGGAGTTCACATTAGACTCACAGTGAAAACACAAAGGGTTGCTTGTTTGGCACACCGACCATTGAGTAAACGCCTGGCATTTTTTTAAAATCAATGACTAAGCATTCTCCGATTGGATGAAGGCAGTGAAGTCACGGGGTGGCAGGGGTGTATTTTGGGTTTTGATTTCAGTCAGAGTCGCTTTAACTGGTCACAGAAAGCAAAACCTGATTGAGGATCTAACCTTTTCCCATTTGATCTAAAACTAAAAACAGTTTTGGTTGGAGCTGGGCTTTGAAAAAAAAAATCTAGTGTGCATGTAAACTGTCTTATGCAGCCACTGTTCTTACATATGATACTAGTGCTTTGGAAACTACATTTATGTCTCCAATTTAACATACGTGGTTGCTAAGATTTTGGGCAACTGTCCTTTTTTTAAAACAGGCTGATGACTTTTTAAAGACTAATTCCATCTTTCTTACCATGTTTCATGTTACACCCATATCCAGGGTGTAACATGAAGCATGGCAACATCCGCAGCCCCACACCCCCAAAACGGCCCCCCTCTTACCAGAATCATGGGGTTCTTCTCCACGCTGGATTCTGTATATATTTAAAAATCAGTGTGGTTCTGTCCACACAGCAGCGTCATCCATTCACAGATCCTGTCAAAGGATTGCAGCAGAGAGTCTTGTAGTTCTCAAGTGTGGTAAAGTCACCGCACTTTTAGTCCCATTGACACTTCCTCCCACTGCTGCAACTGAAGGCACGTACCTCGGTGCAGACAGGGACTGGAGGGAGAATCTGCAGGAGCCAGATCATTGCACTTGCAATCCACTGACTTCGGATTCAATGGTTTGTAGGCTCCAATGCCAACCAAATCTAGAATTGCAAAGTTTTTCTTTTTATATTATGTGTGCATTTATTACTTGTTTTACTATGCTTTTTAAGACCAAAGTAAAAACTAATGTACATTAGTGAACACAAATGTACATGTTATTATACAGGTTTTATAGAGTGCCAACAGTTTGTGCAGCGCTTTACAAAATGGAGAGAGACAATACAGTTACAATACAATTTCAATACAATAGGGTTAGGAGGGACCTGCTCGTGAGAGCTTACAAACTAGTAGGAGGGGCAAAACTTTGTTACCAGGCAGAACGTGCATTAGACTAGGTACCAACGAATGAATCTACCTATATTTAGTCTTACATGACACAGGTGGACACACACGACACCTATTATGAATTGTTTTTTTAACAAAGTTTGAAATAAATTCCTCTGACTTTATCTAAAAATAGGCCGATGTATGAAAAGTAAGCCAATAGCAGACATTCTTTTTGCACATAACTAATCAGACCCTTGTTTCAAGTTAGGCCCCATTCACACTGAGCGACATGAAAATCGCGCGATTTTGAGCGATATTGCGCGACTTTTTCCTATTGGGCTGTATGCAATCAGGAGCAATAGCGCTCGAAATCGCTCTAAAAAAGGGTAATGTAGGAGCGACGAGCTACAAGCGATATTGAGCGACGAGATGTGAACAGCTCCATTGAAATGGATTGGAGAAGCTACATAGAGCGATATTGCGTGGAAATATGAGCGATAGCGCTGCGATAAATCGCTCAGTGTGAATGGGGCCCAATGAGGTAGACTGCAGAAATAACAGTTGGAAGCTAATTGGCAACAGCAACCTACAAGGCATGTTTCTTATACCACGCTTTCCATACATCGGCCCCAATGCTAATTAGCCAAGGTAGCAAACCTAAACACTGAGTATAAGGATATAAAGATGCTTCATGCTAAATTCAAGTGTCAGTTCCTTCTGATCATAATGCGGTCTCTCAAGTAGGGCTGCAACAACTAAATCGATATAATCGATTATTGAAAAAGTTGTCAACTTTTTCAATCATCGATTAATCGGCTTCCGATTAGTTGGCCCTGTTCACGGCTCCACACACGCTGCGCGCCACACTTCCTCCCCACCTCACCTCTGCCAGACTCGCCCTGAGCGCATCCACGCTCCTTTTTCTGCATTCATTGCTGTATAATTTTACACTTTCCATTTCACTATATTGCACACCACACTTTATTTTTTTACGTCCACCGCTCCAAGCTTGCTCCTGTGATGGACTGCAATCTCAATACAAACTAGTAGTCCATCCCTGGAGCCCTTTTTAAAATGTATTTTATTTTTTTATCCGATTAATCGAACTTAATAAATCGGCTAACTAATCGATTTTGAAAATAATCGTTAGCTGCAGCTCTACTCTCAAGCAACAAATACTTTATACATTGAAATCTACATCCAATGCCTGACCAGTTATGGTAAAAAATAAATAAATAAATACACTAGATAAAACAGAAATTGAAATAACTTAAGACAAAAAAGTTGGGAGGACCACTTCAGCAGGTTACTGCTATTGATCAGTGGTTTCAACTATACATTTGGTCTACAGTACATCCTGCTGGCAAAATCGGTTTTTGCAGGAAAACACTAAAATCACATGGTTTTGTGAAAGATCCCTACATCTGAAAAAAAAAACTCTGAATGCCATGCAGTCTAAAAACCAAACTAGACAGGGCCATGTGTGATTTATAAATGGAATATGTGAGGTGGGGACTATTTAATTAAAAGGAATAGCTTATAGTGGATTGGATAGACCCATCTAACTTTGATCCTTCTTTAACCACCTGGAACCGGCCACTGTAGATATACAGCCGTCCACAGCCCCATTGTTCTGGGAGGACGTCCCTGTACGCCCTCCCTTGGCTACCTGTGTGCACGACTGCAGAAGCCACTACTCCTGCTGTCATTCAAGAGTGGAGATCAGTGGCCTGAGGC